CCTCCCCCACCTCCTCCTCCACCTCCTCTCCCGGGTCCTGCAGCTGAGACTGTGCCAGCTCCTCCTTTACCACCGCCCCCTCCTCCCTCTGCACCCCCACTTCCCGGAACATCTTCACCCACAGTGGTTTTCAACTCAGGATTAGCAGGTAAGAGCACAGAATTAAAACCCAGGTACTATGTAAGAAATGCTTATTTGTCTTATCTCCGGAGATAAGATATTTCAGAGTCCAAGTTTCTTGCAATGATGTGATCTCTTCTTAGTATAAGAACATTCCTGCTAATGTAGCCAGTAAAGGGGAATTGAGAGGCATTTTTCTGAATAGCCCTTGTCACATGCTCCCTAGCAGGAGGTTCTGACCTCTCACGTCATCCTTCTGCCTTCCACCAGCCCCACCTAGAGAAGGAAGAGAGACACGTTACCTCCTTAAAAATCAGTGCATTTCTGTGGGTTCAGCCAACACTTCCTGGACATCTGTAGTCATCAAAGCTCTGTATTAGGTATTGATACCGAGTGCTTCTGGCTCTTTTTATTTTAAAGGTATCTGTGATGTCATCCATAAAAGACAAAGATGACTTTATGTGTAATTGCCTGATTTAGGCTTCTGGGCATGTCTTCTGAGCATTTGAAGACTCAGAGTTTGCTAGAGTAGGTTTAAGCTTCAAGGGAAAGTGCTGCCAACAGCATTTCTCCATGCCTTGAAATGCTTCCAAATAATTCATAGTGTCCTCTTGCTAACCAGGAGATAGACCGCAGTATCCTCACCTCACCAGAAATGAAATGGGGGGTGGGGGGATAGGGTGAGAGGAGGAGAGTTGCTCTAATGCCTTGAAATATAAGTTCTTATTTTTGACTCATGGAAATGAATTTTTACTCTTTTCTGTAATACTGCAAGCCATTTTCCTGCTCATGAAATGTTTCCCTGGCATTTGAAATTGCTCTGAGCTTTGCCATCTATGTGACATGAGATAATTGCGCCTCCTCATCCACTTCAGTCCCAATTTATTGGTCTCTTCCTTCTGATAAAGAACTACCACTCTGATAGCCTCCATTTCTAAGGCTGCAGTAGTTTTTGGAGCCTTTTGCCTGAAGTCTAAAAGACAGTCTTAGCTGTAAAGATCTCTTAGTCTCCATCCCTTCCAGGGCCCCATCTGCAGGTCTACCAGCCAGTCATGAGGGCTAATTCATCATAATGACTGGAGCCCTTTTGGACACCCAGAAGCTTTCCTTGACACATTTGTTCCACATCAAATCCATGGTTTTACTTCCACCCAACTTCTATAAAACTGTCAAAGAAACAAAAGAAGATGCCTGTTCAAAGTAATGCTCATAGTAAGTCAGTGGCTTATTTCTACCCTTCAAGGTCTTCCCCGTCTCCTACTTTCTTCTGCAACTTTTATTGCTTCTGAAGGAGAAAAGGTGGAGGAGAGTCATCATGGAACTGTTGGATTGTGGAATGTAAATAAGCAGACAAGAAAAACCTCATAACAAGCCCCTGGAATCTGTTCCTTCACCAGACTGCTCTCAGTGACTGCGTGTGGAAACCCCTAATTGTCATGTGCACCTGGGCTCCCCGATTTGGCTTTCCTTGCAGCCCCTGGGGAGCACTCACTGTGAGATATGTCTGCTGAAGTGTCTTGCTTGGCACTGTTTCCTTTCTGTCTGGCAAAAACTATTGTTACTCAGTGTCCTCTTCATTCACCTGAGCTCTAGCAGAACTCAGAAGTGCCTCCTTCTGGAGGGTCGTGTTTCGTCTGGTTGATCTGGTTGATTTTTCTTTTTTTTTTTGGCCTGGGCTCTTTCCACTACCTAATTGTTAAGATGTGTTGGCTCTGTTGATTTCCTCAATTTTAAGATGTGGAGCTCTGTGCTCAGCTGATAACTAACTGCTGCCTTCAGAGTTGCTACAATTGAAGTTGTCCCTGTTGTGTTTTACACAATTTAGAGGATTGTATGTGGGATTGAAGAAACTCCTCTTTAGTCCTCTGTTAAATGATTTCAAGAAACACCTTGTTTTACAAGATCCTCACGAATCTTTGATACCTTGAGATAGGCAATTTCTACAAGGCCTTTAATCTCCCTTTATTACTTATCCCTAATTTGGTTGTTAGTACTTAGTGATTGAAGCCCATTTTGTGAGATGTTTTGCCAGTGTGTTCGGTAAATCTCTCTCTTTCTCTTTGGAACCAAGAGGCCAGACAGAATCAGAATGTCTCAATAGTACCCAAAGACAGAGCTGAGCCAATGTGCCAGGACTTCTAGGAAGTCAGAAACCTATGGTATCAGCAGGCAGCAGGATATTTCATCTCTTCAACAGGCAATGACCAAGTGTGTTCTTGGTGGCTAAGACAAGGGATTAGGAAGAGGTTTCCATAGTTTATCTAGTTTAGGGTTTTCTCTGCATTTTATAGAGAAAATATTAGTAGTGTGAAATATGCATTTGAAGAGTAAGGCTTTCTTCCTCAAACCTGTGATAGAGCAATCTGGCTCCCTGTTCCTGGGGCTGGTCACCTATGATGAACTGCTTAGCTGGCTCTTTGGGTGGATGTGCTTGGATCTTCACAATGAGAATTTGGACTTTGGCTGAGGATTTTTTTTTTTTTAATTAAAAAATTGTTCATATTCTATGGAATACCTAGCACTGTTCAGTATGGCTGTTTGAGACCACTACAATGAAATAAAAATTTTTTTTCTTTCCCTTTTCTAAAAAAGATTTAAAAAACTAATAGTGAGAATTAAAAAAAAAATAATTAAAAAATTGTTCATATTCTATGGAATACCTAGCACTGTTCAGTATGGCTGTTTGAGACCACTACAATGAAATAAAAAATTTTTTTCTTTCCCTTTTCTAAAAAAGATTTAAAAAACTAATAGTGAGAATTAAAAAAAAAAAAAAACAAAACAAAATAGTGAATCTTCAAGGCAGGCCTGAATGGAAATGAATTCCTGGCTCTGTGCTGCCTTCTGAAATGTGTCCAAGAAGCATGAAATTCTATGCTAAGAGTACGTGAACTGCTGAGACACTTGACTCTAACCATATCTAATTTTTTTGTATTTCTCTTTTCTTTCTGCTTCCACAAAAGATGGGCCAATCAAGCTTTTCTGTAGGTTGCTCCTCACTGAGTGTGTTGCATATTTGCCATGTGTTCCTTGTGGGTCACACTGTCTTTCCGCTCCATCTTACTTTGACCCATTGCATTTTGACTCTGTCTGCGGGAAGTCTTGGTGTTGGCTGACTGTTATTCCAGGTTTTGCCCACACGTTTTAGTGGAACCTGTAGAAGAGATTATCGTCCTTTAAGCAGACATCCTGGATTCATATGCTACGTTCCTTTCCCTCTGAGAAAAGGAATTTTTTTTCTTCTTTCAGTTTAATTTTAATAGTTGGATCTAAGGCACCAACTCTAAAAGGATTTTAGATATATTCTGAGTATAGAACGAGAACAAGGAAGAGCTGCTAGGTGACCCTTTCCTGTCCCCTCCCACCAGTCTCTGGCTCACACCATTTCCATGGAACAGCCAGGCTTCCAGAGCCCCTTTCTTTAGCCTGAACACTCGGGATGCAGTGTATATCGTGGTCGCCTATGTGCCCCTCCTCCTCTTCCCCTGCCCCCATGCCCCCGTCAGAGTCAGGAAGACCTTTCCAAGGAGAGCTTTCGAGCCTGTGTTCTGACCTCAGGCTTACTCCTAATCTTGCTGAAGAGTCAGAAGAAGTGCAGTTGCAAGTGGCATGCCTTCTAGTGAGCGTGCTGAGCCCGAGGGGGCCACAAAGGGACAGAGTCAGGAAGACCTTTCCAAGGAGAGCTTTCGAGCCTGTGTTCTGACCTCAGGCTTACTCCTAATCTTGCTGAAGAGTCAGAAGAAGGGCAGTTGCAAGTGGCATGCCTTCTAGTGAGCGTGCTGAGCCCGAGGGGGCCACAAAGGGACAGTAGGAAGCAAATGGCACCAACCTGTCACCTCAGATGATGAAAAGGCCCTTCTGCAGCATCTCGGATGCTCCCTTTCTTTTCCCCCAACATTGCTGAAGTGCCAGAGTAGAGGAAGATCTGTTCCTTTGTCCCATTGAGGACATTGGTTCTCCTAGGTAGCATGGACAGAAATGAAGTGTGGCAAGGAGTCTGACCCTGTTTGGTAGTGGGAATGAAGGTGCGTCACATTTGGTGGTAGAAAGGCCTGGTTTGGTAAAAGCTGTGACTCTGTGGTCCTGCATGCTTTTGTGTGGGTTTATCAGATGACATTCCTGCTGTTTATATGGCCTTCGAAACTCTGGAGGAATGAGAGGCACTGCCTTTCTTTTTCAGTTAACACCAACTGAGGCCGGCAGGCAGCCAGACACAAGCTCAGTTGTGTGTTGCTTTTATTTTGTTCTGCCCTGAAGTGCTGAAGTTCTCCTTTCTTCCTTGCTAATAATGGCAAATAGCTAAGCTCCCAAGTAGTGTGGTGGGCTACCCGGGATGGACTGACGAAGGTGAATGTATACAGCTAAATGGTTTGGGAAGACTTCTTAATGATGTATAATTAATAAATAGAATTTTAAATGCATTACCTTTTTTAGCTCATTTCCCCCAGGTGAGAGGAGTTGGCACTCCCTCCGGCCCCTAAAACATGGATCCCATCCTCTCTGTTAAGAGGCTCTCAATATTTTTAATGAGTTCATTGATGCCTTCTAGTCAAACGTCAATGATTCTGGAGAGAACTTACTTTTTCAAAAGAGGAGAAAGGGACTGTGGCTATTCGTGGGAAGCAGTACAATTTCTTGATTCTAAGTACTCCTTCTGTCATCGTAAACATTTTCTAATTTAGGCCATTCACAGCCCTTGGTCTGTTTGAAATAACTCAGCAGCCAATATAATCTCCATTGGCTGAATCACCCACAGGAATGTATTGCTCTGGCTGACAGCCTTCTTGACATTACATTCCTGGTGGTTTAGACAGCCACTATCTGTAATCTCTGATCGTCTTTTAAGGTTTGCTTGTAGATATGTGTTCTAGAACCAAGAATTTAGGATGTCAAAATTTGACAGTATTTGCCCTCTCTGCTATCTAATAATATTGACAATAATGTTTGCTCTCCAATATTTGTATTAAGCATTGTCTTAATATTGTAACTGTACTGCAGCAATGCAATTGCCCAAATTTAAAAAAAAAAGAAAAAAGAAAAAGTCAACCCCTGACCCTTATATAGCTTTTAACACAATGTCGTGTCAGTCAACCAAATGATGACCTCAAATGGCTCTGGTTAAAGCCCTGTGTGATATTTTCCATGTTTAAAAACATTTGGTCACTTCTTGCCAGCTTTCCTCCAGTGTTAAAAGTGTCATCTGCAAGGACTGTTGTCTGATTGTTCCTGAGGGTCATGGGGTCTTGGTGGGATCTTAATTTTATTCTCTCTGACAACTTTAGCTGTGAAAATTAAGAAGCCAATCAAGACGAAGTTCAGAATGCCGGTGTTTAACTGGGTTGCTCTGAAGCCCAATCAGATCAATGGCACAGTTTTCAATGAAATTGATGATGAGCGAATTCTGGAGGTATCTTTTCTCATTGGTTAGAAACTAGGGGTGCTTTCTGTGCAGCAAAGCCAAAATGAGTGCTCCATTAGCCTGGAAGTTTCAGTGATAAAATGCTAGTGATTTAAGTACCTTTATATAAAGAAGAAACATTTATAATATCAAAGAATAAAACTTAATACTATTTTGTAAGGTAGTTCTAAAACTATGTTTAAAAAGTTATGTTAAAATGGAATAAATAGTTATGACCATCTGCAGTGTGTACATGTCAAAATATATATATCTGATACTTTCTTCCCTTAATTTATAAAAGGGCATAAAACCCTTTATTGAAATGTAAGTGGATAAGATACTCAATTATCATACTGACCACCTTGTTTGGATAATTTTAGTCTGTGGCAGCTGTCTATGCAAGCTAATTATTGAAAGGCAATCAAATTGGCTGGTTAGAATCAGTCTACTTTAAACATTTACTTCTGAATATGTGTCAGAAGTTGTACTCTAACAAAAATAGGAAAAACAGAGCAAACCAAGGCCAAAGACATGTATTAAATAGAAAAAGTAAGGTCTTTGCTTAAGAAACTGTCTAAAATTTCTGAATTTCTGACTTAATCTTTAATTATAATCCAATTGGCCAATGTCATCCCTCTTTACCCCAGGATTTAAATGTGGATGAATTTGAGGAAATATTCAAGACAAAAGCTCAAGGTCCTGCCATTGATCTTTCTTCAAGCAAACAGAAGATAACACAGAAGGGATCAAACAAAGTGACATTACTAGAAGCAAATAGGGCCAAGAATCTTGCCATAACTTTAAGGAAAGCTGGAAAGACTGCTGATGAGATATGTAAAGCTATTCATGTGTAAGTTCAGGGCATTCTGGAAAATTATATCCTAGTCAGTTTAGGATAAAAATGAAAATAAGAAAGTTATGAATTAGTGGTTAACAGAAATATTTCAGTTGTGGGGAAAGTTCTGAGATAAAAGATGGAACAATTCTTGATATCCACACTTCAGAGATTCCTTTATTACATATGCGCTACCTCGGAGTTGAATAAAGTGCTAACACTAATGAGGTGGACCAGAATTTACCCAAGAAGTGCTGTATTAGAATGAGTGACTGTTTTAGAGGAATAACATCTGGTTTGTGGCGTCATTTATTATCTTGGACTGCTCTTTACATAGGTCTACAGTAATGCTTACACAAAAGGAAAGTTGAGTGTTGCAGATGTTAAAAAAAAAGAAAAAAGGTAGAAAATGTCAGTTTTCTCTGGAGTGTATGGATTTTATCCAGATTTGTTGAATATAAGTTTGATGGCATTTATGGAATGATACAGTTCAATGCCAGATGCAGATATGATACAGATGCATATTTTAATTCATAATATTGGGAATGCGAATTCTGTTGCTCTTAGTACTTTCAGGACATTTTAAACAGAGGTTTTTTTTATTCTTGAACTGCGTGAAAGGCATTGGTCTGATTCTCTATTAAAAGAATTTTTCTACTCCTCTTGTGGCCAGTGTGACTTTCAAATGTGATAGAATATTATTAAATGTTTTAGGAACTAATTCTTCAGAGATTGGCATTTCATAAATTTTGGCAAGAGATTCTTAGAGGAGCAAAGGGGAGAAATCATTTGCTCCAATTTCATGCCTTAAGTCAGGAGGCATAATCTAATAGTCTAGTGCCTCCTACAGTCTGTTCGGATTTTTTTATATCGAAACCTGATATGCAGTCTGCAGTGCCTAAAAAAACATGTCCTTGAACCACTTAACCATCAGATCCTTGAGACTTCATTTTTGCCTCTTCCTATTGTCATTGACTCTAGATTTCTAGAGGCTTAGAACTATGCCAGTAGTTTTAAAACTGAGTGGTAGTTGTGATCAAGTCCAGGTTTTCAGGAAGGACAAATTAAGATACCTGCTGCACAATCAGGAACTAGCACCAGGGTGGGGCTTCACAGGTCAGCTGTGGAACTCTTAGACTCACTGACTTGGTAGTTGATGAGCTGGACCAGATGGAGGTATGGTGAAAAGGGTAGGAGGTTTTCTCTCTAACACTGATCTGTCCACGTTCATCTTCAGATTTGACTTGAAGACATTGCCTGTAGACTTTGTAGAATGTTTGATGAGGTTCTTGCCCACTGAGAATGAGGTGAAAGTGCTTCGGCTCTATGAGCGGGAAAGGAAGCCATTAGAGAACTTGTCGGATGAAGACCGGTTCATGATGCAGTTCAGTAAAATTGAGAGGCTCATGCAGAAGATGACCATCATGGCCTTCATTGGGAACTTTGCCGAAAGTATTCAGATGCTGACTCCTGTGAGTGGACCAACTCTGTTAAGGGACGGGGCCCAAAGAGATATAGAATCATTTTTCCTTTTATGTCTCTCCCAGAATTCACTCAGTGTGATGGACTCCAAAGACACCTTCCCAGAACTTTCTAGATTGTGTTTTTATGTCAATGATCTTTTTCACATTGTTTGCAAAGTAAATTTGAAAGCCGAATTTCCATATTACATATTGCTCGTCTCCCGAGAGAATGCCATTTTCTGTGTTACGGATGTCCTCTGGATTTTAAGGAAAACTTCAGTGTAGAGGATAAAGAAAATCATTTTCTTAAACTTGGTGATACCATTCTTCTGGGTGGGTTGGCCAGACTGAAATGTGACTTTTATTTTTAATAAACGATCTCATGTCTTTAGCAAACAAGCTTATTAAGATTTCATTGGAAACATTAAATTCACCATAGGAGTTTTCTTCCTTGGAAGTTTGTTACAGTGGACTGGGGTTATGTAGAAGTAATAGCCAACTATCTCTTATTCCCTTACATTAATATGGTGGAAACTTACGAATGTCATAAACTTCAGTTCTTTTCCAGTTCTATTTCTAAGTAAACTTTTGTTAGTTACTGATTATAGTAGCAAATCTGTTTAAAACGTGTTCTGAGAATTTCTAGAGGGTGATTATGTCTGTTTGCTTTTTTGTTTTGATGTTTTTTTGTTTTTCATTCTTGGGAAGCTCCACTGATTTAAAAATATGAGTTATATTACATGATTAGAGGTGGTGGGCAGGGAATTGAGTTCTGCTGGAAGAGACTGACGACTCCTAACTGAGTGTTATTGGTTATAGATTGGTTACAGATTTTGTGATAAGCAAGTTCCTATGTTATTTTTTATGGCAAATAATTTTAGACTAGAGCTTGCACATAATGACATATGGTTACCTAAGACCCAGCAGGACAACTAATTTGTTATGCTTAGGAAAAACAGAATCTCATCATTAAGACTTTAAGGTTTACATGCAGGCCTGTTTTCTTCTCTATTAATTTTTAGTTTTCAATTAGTTTCCCATTTTTAACATGTCTTTTTTCCCCCCTCCTTTCCTTCCTTTGATTGGAATCTAGCAACTACATGCAGTTATAGCAGCATCTGTCTCTATAAAGTCATCTCAAAAACTCAAGAAAATTCTGGAGGCAAGTGAAGTTTTCCTCATATACATGTATGGAGAGCTGACGTGTCAGCTGCATTCCAGTGCCTGGGGTGCTGTACTGATGGGCTTCTCTTTTCTCTCTCTTACAGATCATTTTGGCCCTTGGAAACTATATGAATAGCAGTAAAAGAGGAGCAGTTTATGGATTTAAACTTCAGAGTTTAGATCTGGTGAGTAGACTAAAAGAAATATGAAATCTATGTGAATGATAAACAGCTGGCAGAGATTGAGTCCGGGGGGGGGTGGGTGGCGGGAGAGTCTGATCTTGGAAGTATGGGTGGGATGTTTTGATGAATATTCTCTGCTAGTGGGAGGATCGATTAGCACAATTCTTCTGAAACACCATTGACAATAAGAACTTAGAACCTTAAAAATACTTATATACTTTGACTCAATATTTCCATTTCTAAGAATCTTTCCTCAGGAGCCTGAATTATGAATTCTGTATTTTATTAATATAGTAGTCCTCTCTTGTCTGCAGTTTCTCTTTCCATGGTTTCAGTCAACCACAGTGTAAAAATAGATGGGTAAAGTACAGAAAGATATTTCGAGAGACCATGTTCACATAACTTTTATTACAATATATTGTTATAATTGTTATACTTTATTATTAGTTTTTTATGACTAATCTCTTACTGTGCCTACTTTATAAATTTAACTTTATCATAAGAATACCATAAGTGTGTATAGGATAAAAACAGTGTGTGTGTGTGTGTGTGTGTGTGTGTGTGTGTGTGTGTAGGATTTGGTACTATTTATTGTTTTAGGCATTCACTGGGGACCTTGGAACATATCACCTGTGGATAAGAGGGGCCTATTGTAGTCACAAATAATTAGCAACAATATAAAGGTCCATCCTTGTAGGAAATGATCAAATATACTGTAATAATAGTTAAACAGTGAACTATTCTTCAACTGTTAAAACACTTGTGAAGAGTTTTCAAAGAAATGGATAATTTTGTGTTTAGAAAATAAGGTAGTGTATAAGTTGCATGTACAGTTTAATTTCGCCTAAGTAAAATACATAGGGGGAAAAAAAGGGCTGGCTTGTTAGCTAAGTTGGTTAGAGTGTGGTGTTGTAACACCAAGGCCAAGTGTTTGGATCGCCATACTGTTCAGCCACCAAATAAATAAATAAATAAATAAATAAAATGTTAACAGAGAGGTTGGATGGAATTAGGGAATTAAGTTGGTTAGAGTGTGGTGTTGTAACACCAAGGCCAAGTGTTTGGATCGCCATACTGTTCAGCCACCAAATAAATAAATAAATAAATAAATAAATAAAATGTTAACAGAGAGGTTGGATGGAATTAGGGAATTTTTTCAAACTAATTTTTTTTATACTTTTCTGTATTTTCTAAAAAAAGTTTTTTTAGCTGCATGGAAAAAGGTGCTGTGCTTTTCAGAGTCACTTGACGTATGTGAACAGGACTAGAGAAAATCATTCATGGAACCCTCTTCAGGCTGTGCAGGGCTCACCTGACTTCCATATGAGAGTGTTGGGCAATGGGTTGAGTTCCCAGATGGGGGGACACATGGTTATTTGATAGGGAGTGCCCAGTCAGTCACAGTCTGGCCCCCAGCAGATCATGGTCAGTTAAGCATGTCTGTTTCAGGTCAGCAGAGGCTTGGGACTAGGAGAGGAGCTGAGCTCAGTGTAAAGACTGCAGTACAGGAGTCCTGCTATGGAGGAGGCACCTGTACACACCTGCTGGCTTTACATTCCACTTCTACTCTGGTGCTTCACTTTGAAGAGCACTAAGACTAGAATCTCCCTGCTTTTAAGCCAGGGGAGGTGGCATAGCAGATGGTGGGGGGCGGGGGGAGTAGAGTAAAGATGTGAACCATTCTTAGTTGCTTAGAGTCATCCCTAAAGTTTAACACATCCTCTGGTCAGAAAGTCCTCCAGTCATTTACTCTGGCTGAGATCATCATCTGGTGGATAACCCTCCCATCACCCTGGGCTCTTGCACCTAACTCTGTTCCCTTTTGTTTCCAGCTCTTAGATACAAAGTCAACAGACCGAAAGCAAACACTGTTGCACTATATATCGAATGTTGTAAAAGAAAAATATCACCAAGTGTCCCTGTTTTATAATGAGCTTCATTATGTGGAAAAAGCTGCTGCAGGTACTTGATTTCAGTTATTAATACTACTCTTAGGTCTTTAATGGCTTTGATCATGAGGGTACCATTCCCTGCTTAAACAAACACTCTTCAGAACCCATTTAAAAACGCAAGGTTAAGAAGTCAGAATCTCTGAGCTGGAGCACATGGGCCACGGTGTCGCCCACTGCTGAACATGATAGCGAATGAGGGCATGAGGTGTGAAGGTCATCTCTCTCTTTGTCCTCTTGGTAAAAATCCGGTCTTTGAGACTCGTGTACCTTCTCCTATTCATTGCCCCCAGTGGATGTCCATGTTATAGGTGAGAAAATTGACATTTTTAGAGGTTAAATGTCTTGCCCGATGTCACATGGCTATAAAGTGATAGAAACAGGGCTAGAACTCAGGTCTTCTTACTTCTCGAAGTGTAGTATATCATCCAACGTACCCTGTCTTTTCAAAAGAATATTAAGTTGGAAAAAGGAATAATATACAAATTGACCTTAGTGTTAGTTACAGGCTGTGAGTTTCTTTTCTTTTTTTAATTTATTGAAATATATTGGTTATACCTATCTATGGGTACAGAGTTGAATTTCAATTTCAATACATGTATACAATGCGTGATGATCAAATCAGGGTAATTAGCATATTCATCATTACCTAACAATCATTTCTTTCTGATGAAGAATTTGATTTCCTTTCTTCTAGCCATTTGATAACATGCAGCAAAATATTGTTCATTATAGATGCCTGGCTTGACTGTACACCAATAGAACTTATATCAAATTATGATCTTGAACATAAGCAGCTGGTGTTTATTATGAATTGAGATTCCTGAGGCCTACCCCAAGCTTATTGAATCTTTTAGGACAACGACTTCTCTGAATTCCTCAGCCAGAGTAAATGGCTGCTGCTTCTGTGTTCTTACTAAAGAGCACTCCATACTACCCACTCATACAAGATTTATCAAATATTGTTATAACAATTTGCATGTTCATTTCAACCTGTCCACTTCCTGAAGGTATAATCAGGTTTTATTTACCTTTATAATTTCCTCAGCCCCTGGCTAATTGGATGCTGGGAATAAATGAATGAGTGAATAAATGAATGAATGAATGAGTGAGATGATACACTGTTACTGGGATAGATACTACCAAAGCCCTAGTAGAGATGGAGAGGCAGGTGGACATGATCTTGTGACTATGAAGAACTGTGCAATGCAGGCAGGGACAGACCTATTGAGGGCGTAGGGCTCGTTAGGCAGTTAGCAGAATTTCTATTCTGGTGAAGTGGTTTTTCTCCTTTCAAGTTTCCCTTTACCTGATTTAGAGATTCATAAACATCACAATTCTAATTAAGAAGAAAGTTAAAAAGAAAATTCCCACCTTACTAATAGTACCATTTTGTTTAGCCCCAAATAGGATTCCCAAAAAGTGTCATTTGGGGGGGAAAAAAAAAAAAAAAAAATCAATGGGAAAAATGGGGAGATTGCAGGGCTCTGGCCGAACTGTTCAGTGTTTGCTCTCTGGTGCCCAGGTGAGCCAACACAGATTTTTTATACCTTCACATGTGTGCACTTACTCCTTCATTTATCCAGTGAACACTTTTGAGCACCTGATATGAACAAGACAGTGTGAGTCTAGTGAGGGGAAACATACTGCATTGTTTTGTGATTCATCCACGTGCAGAGCTGAGTCGGACAGTGTGGAGCTAGAGGTGAATCCCAATCTCTGTGGGGAAGCTGCCTCTAGGAATGTGCCTGCTTTGGGAGGTGGCCACACTACAGAAAGAAAGAAGCTGTCCAAGGTTGCTTTGTGTCCTAGTAGTCAGTACAAATAAAGTTAAAGGGACAGAATGCTTCCCCCTGCTGGAGAGTCACAGAAATGGAAAAGAGTTAAAAGGTAGGATTAAAAGATCTTGGGCCTGTCATAGATAAGGACCTCTGAGCCTACAGGCCAACCAATAGGTTATTTCCTTTAAGAGAAATGGAATAGTTGTGTACCAGCACAGGATTTGGAGTCTGCCATTGTCACTTGAACTTCACCGCCTCTGCTAGCCATGTGACCTAGGGCAGGCCACATAACTTCTTTATGTTGCTTTTCCTCATTGGCAAATGGGCTAATGGTGCAAATGAATTAGCGCATATAAAGAATTTAATGTAGTGCTTGATAGTGAGCACTTTGTAAACTATTCATATTAAAGGATCTCTATGCTGAAAACCGGAAACTAGATCTAAGGCCCTTATGTGAGCCTAAGAATCTACTGAGAACTTGCCAGCCAGACTTGGTATGGTTTTGACTTTCCTGGTTGAGGTTCACTGGGGCATTGCTTTCTCTACTTTAGTCTCCCTTGAGAATGTTTTACTGGATGTCAAGGAGCTCCAGAGGGGCATGGACTTGACCAAGAGGGAGTACACCATGCATGATCACAACACACTGCTGAAGGAATTCATTCTCAACAATGAGGGGAAGCTGAAGAAGCTGCAGGATGATGCCAAGATTGCACAGGTAAGTATTGGTTCCCCTTGACACCCGGGAAGAAGGAGAGATTGGATTTCGTAAAGCCCCTGGGATGGAGGCCCTGGGTTAGGGGAGAAACGTTCTATTTCCCTCTGTCTGCAGAGGGTAGATTCCTTACGTAGCTAATGATTATTGGGGTATCTTTCCCAGTCTTGTCCATGGAAACACCCCTTTCTGCTCAGTATTTGTTTCTAGTTTGGGGTCTTTACCCTCTTCTACAGAGGCTTTCCCTGTCCCCTCCCCCTCACCTTCCACTCCTATGCTCCCTCCAGCATGTGTCCTGTATTCAGTTCAACCAGTGTGTGTCAGGCCTGTGTTCAGCAAAGCAGCTTTTCTGGTGTATCAGGTTTCTGGAGAACTTGACCTCAAAATCTTACACTGCATTGGGGGTCACTGATATATAGGCAACCCTGCAAAACAGAATGAACTGCACAGCACCACACAGGGGAGGCAAAGTATTAGGGGAACTCAGAAAGCAGACACAGTGGTATGGCCTCTGGTTTGGGGCTGTCTTGCATCACAGAAGAGTTCAAGCAGAGACTGAGTGTCCTCTCTGTGGGGATATTGTAAGGACCATTGAAGCAAGGGACTGGGATTTGGAGTGAGAGTGACTTCTAAGATCCCTTCTAACCTTGTTAGTTCTAATGGATTCTGTCATGATCTTAGGAAACTCTTGAAAGAAATGGCTCCTCACTGTGTGTGTGCTGGGGCATGTGTGTGGGTGTGTAGGAGGGCCCAGAGATGTCACATCTTCTGGTTGCCTTTGTTGAAGTATTGGGAGGAGATACAGAGGCTGTAGAGAATTGCGGGGAGGGGAGGGAGGCTGTAGAGATGAGAATCTGTGGGATCTACTACCTAGTCGCTGCTGTTCTGCTTTAGCTTTTCCCCGGGAACATCACCTTCAGATGTTATAACTAATGAAATTCAGGAGAAATTTGCTTTCTTCACAGGATGCCTTTGACGATGTGGTGAAGTATTTTGGAGAAAACCCCAAGACAACACCACCCTCTGTTTTCTTTCCAGTGTTTGTCCGGTTTGTGAAAGCCTATAAGGTAAACGAGAGAAGGGTGCCCTTTAAAGCCCTCTTTGTCATTAATTCGCGAGCCAGTGCTCTCCCTGAAACGTGTTGGAGTCTTGACTGCTCTGCAGAGGCGTCCTCGTTCCTGTGGGTAGCAGATCTGGGTGGTCGGGACGAGACAGCAGTCTCTGGCCCTGTGGAGGCTCTGAGGGCTCCCAGGGCCCTCATGCCAATATGGTCCTGTTTTCCACTGAGTCAGTCCTGGGCCTCAGCCAGAAAACAAAAGCTCTTGGCTTCCCCTTGGGGCAAGTGAGATGCTCCAAGACGATTGCTGCCCTGTTCATTGTTGACCCAGGCAGGCAAGGAGAAGGACTTAGAAAATCCATGTCTCTCATAGAGTTGTTTAATGGGTAAAAGAAGTGAAGCATGGCCTGTGGCAAAGGCACATGCTGAAGCTGAGGTCAGGGAGAGCCCTCTTGTGCTAGTCCTGGCCCAGGCCTTCAGACCTTTCAGACCAACATTTCTGTAGTGTGGACCGAAGGATGGTGCTATTAAGAATGTGTGCTCTCTGTTCCTCTATCTGGATCAACAATGACTTTCATTTAAATGGGAGGCCCTCTTGGACATAGTCCAGGGCCATGATCTTGAAAAAGCATATGACCCAATGAGGCATGCATCTGAAGAATTTGTTCTTTGAGAAGGAATGACAAGGAGGGCAATAGAAGGTATAGGCCCACTTGGGAAACATTACAGTCTATATTCTCCAGGCTTTTCTGTATAACATTACACAGAGTAACGTCAGTGGAGAAAGGATAAGACTGGGTTATCTACACTTTTGAGAAAAACACCATTGGAAATAGGGGGGCACTTCTCTAACACCACTAGGGACTGATGGCTTTAGAGAAACATCCTTGGGCCTTTTACTGAAACAAAAAGTCAAAATATTTAGCCATCTTCTCTTAGCATGGCTTAATGTAGCAGTGATATCGTAAGCTATTAGCAGGAGTAGTGTCCTTGGCAGTGAGGATGAACACAAACACAGCACAGACTCCATGTGCAAACACTGGGAGTTAGGAGCAATGAGAAGGTCACTGGCCACCAGCAGCAGCTGACTGGTAGTGTGCTGGAGATGGCCCAAGGAGGCTCTTGTTATGTGCTGGGACCACATTTCTTCATATAAAAACTTATGTCTAAAGTCAAAAGAGAACATGTATGCTGTTTCAAAATTGTATGAGAGAAGCTAGGGAGTAGCTGGGGTTGGTCTCCAAGCTCAAGGCTCTAGCAGGGACATGCATGGAGCGAAGAAAAGAGAAGCTGCCCTTGGTGATCTGTGGGGTGTCTCAGGTCACTGCCTATCGGCATGCTCCTTCCTCTTTCTCATCTCTCCCTGTGGTTGTCTTAGCCAGCTTGGTGAGGCACTGGTCAGGCGGTGATGTTACGGGATGAGTTCCTTGCCTTACATGTGACAAATAACCTCCCAGCCTCGCACTGACTTAGCGACTTTGTGGACAGAGGTTAGGATTTTAGGATGTCATCCCTCTTTTCCATTCCCAAGTATGAAACAAAATGAAACTTAAGACAAAAGCAACAGAGAAAAAAAGGTTAACTTTAAAAGCTGGATGGGAGGATATCTGTGAACTTATACTTCAGCCCTAAATTAGACAGGCTTATCCATCAGTTCACAGCTCAGCAGTTAGAAGTCTCTTCAGGGAGGCTGGCTTCAGGAGAGAGAGTGCCCAAGAGAGCTGAGCTGAGATGAGCCTGTTAAGATTCTTCTCTCAAATTCATCAGACTGGTTGCTCTGTCTCTCTTAGGGAGGAATGAGCTGTGGGAAGACAGTCCAAGAGGCTCCAAAAGAAACAAGAGGCAAGGGAATAGAGGTTTTCCCCCAGCAGTGGGCAAAAGGCAAAGGACTTTAGATTGTGTTTTCAGAGAAGCTCTAAGTAGGTAGACAGATTCTGGAAGCAAAACAAACACATGAAAAATCACTGAGCACAGGTACCACAAGGTTAGATCCCCACTAAATCTGTAGGACCAAGACTAAGAAGACTAAGATTCCCAAGCAGGGAGAGGATCTACAGGAAAGGACTTCTGGATGAGGTGAATCTCAACTGCCGGCTTTTGAAGAGATGTGATAGAGACAAACCCAGAATCAGAATTAAAGATGGGCAAAAACCTTCCATGTACTCTGATTCCTGACGAAGGATACTTGAAGAATGACTTCTTAAAATCTTGACTGCTGTCATTTCCACTGACCTGATCTTTTTGGTTATTCTGATTTACCCAGCAAGCAGAAGAGGAAAATGAGCTGAGGAAAAAGCAGGAACAAGCTCTCATGGAAAAGCTCCTGGAGCAAGAAGCTCTGATGGAGCAGCAGGACCCCAAGGTGAGAAGTGCCTGGCTCCAGAGATGAGCCCCCATGTGAGGAGAGGCCTTTACAACTCCTCTGAGGCGAGCAGGAGAGAGGGGTGCCAGGCCAGATTGGCACAGCATCCTTACCCCTCCTCCTAGGACTTGGTAACTTGGGAAATGGAAATTTGTGCATTCATTACTTTGCTCAGCAACTACTGGAATGAGGCTAAGAGCATGTTTGTGTAGCATTTCCAAGTTTATAAAGCTCTGGAACTTAAATCTTAGTTGGATATACAGAGGGGCCACACCAGGTAACCTGATGACCAGAGGGCTTAACCTCCAAGGAAGGCTTTGTGTGATACCCATTGGTGCTGGCCTTGACAGCCGGAGGGCTTTGCTAGGAGGAACGGGGGGAGCATTTCATGGAGGGCAGTATCCTAGGTAAAGATCATAAAGGCTGACAGGTCATTTCTTTATTGTGATCCTTTGCACCAAAGTTTAAGGAGTCTATGGTTATTACCAGCTGCCTCTTGTTGCCATAGGGTCCAGCCTTCCCACTGCTGCCAGATGGAATTTTGTGTTCTTCAGTGAAAGTTTCTGTTTTCTTCTCAGAAGCTTTCTGAGTTTTCCTGCATTTGAGCAGAATGTTGGGATGGTGCTGTGTGCATTTTTGGCTGAGGCTGCTTATTGGTAACATAATGCTCAGGCACATTTTGGATTTTTTCAAACCTCCGATGAGTGCTGTTCCCCACTAATCTGGGCCTTTCTTCTTTCTTCTCAGTCTCCTTCCCATAAATCAAAGAGGCAGCAGCAAGAGTTAATTGCAGAGTTAAGAAGGCGACAAGTTAAAGATAACAGACATGTATATGAGGGAAAAGATGGTGCCATTGAAGATATTATTACAGGTAAAGGCTCTTTCCTTACTGTGGCCCATGGAGATCCCACTGGCCTCACCCAGACTGGGCCACGTGCAGATTTTGCATCTTTTTTTGTCCAGGGTTGGCAAGTTTTTACTTTATTCAGATTCAGAATTATGCAGAGAGACTTCATGCTAGGATTTGAAGTATATTTATAATGGCATGTATACTGCCCCAACAGTCTCTGAAAAACTCTTTATCATTTCTCAGTATTATTGGAACCCTGTAGGTTTCAGCAGGGCTCATTCCCCTAACGCTTTTCCATTGTTTTTGATTTGTCATCATGCTCCATTTTTCTCCTCCTGGCCACCCTACCCAACTTCCTGATTAATAAATACTGTGGACAAGACCCATTCAGCTTTGTGCTAACCACAGTCCATGCAGGCTTTTCCAGCATGTTCTTTAAAAGCCTCTTTACTCATTCAAAGTAACTGAGGTCAATAGGAAATCAGCGCAGGTACTTTAATTTAGATGAGCCAATAGGCTTTTAGCCCAGAGTTGAGGACTGATTGTTCTATCAGTGAGGAATCTTGCCTAACCCAGCTTAGTTCTCATCTTATTAAATTCTAGCTTAATGCTTTCTGCTTGAACCCATTCTCTTGGGTTTCTGTACTTCCTCAGGACAATAATTTGGGCCACTGTCTTATAGCACTAGCAGCAAGTGACTTTTCTTTCATGTCTGTTGCACATGAATTCTGTTTATCAACCTCCAAGATGCTTAAAGATTTTTATTATGGGAATGTTCAAAAATATGCAAAAGTGTAGAGAATAGCGTGATGAGTTCCCATGTACCCTTTACTCATTTCAACAATTGTCAACTCATGGCCAATCCTGTTACATGTATACTCTATTCACACCCCATACCCAACTCTTGGGATTATTTTAAATCACATCCAAGATACATAATTTCACTTGGAAATATTTCAGTATGTATATTCAAAAGATAAGGACTCTTTAAAAATAAAACCAATGGGCCGGCCCATGGCTCACTTGGGAGAGTGGGGTGCTGATAACACCAAGGCCATGGGTTCGGATCCCTGTATAGGGATGGCCAGTTGGCTCACTTGGGAGCGTGGTGCTGACAACACCAAGTCAAGGGTTAAGATCCCCTCACCGGTCATCTTTTAAAAAAAAAACAACAAAAAACCAAAAACATACCCACAGTACCATTATCACATCCTCCCCCAAAACTAACAAATCCTTAATATCAAATATCCAGTCATTATTCACATTTCTCCAGTTGTCCTAATTTTTAAAAACTCTAATTTCTAGACTTTTGACTTCTTATTTCTTGTTATAGCTTAGTCAACATTATAAATAGGGATCCCAAACTGCCAAAACCATAAATTTTTTTCACCAGCCCAGACCCAGGGAAATTAAATAAATAGATTAGATAGATTTTTAAAAAGGAAGTCAATAAAGAAATCCTTGCCTAGACTAAAGCAGTTTAAATCCTGAATGGATAAGTGGCTGATGAGAATTCCATTCCCTACAAATGGTGCACACACATTCTGCACACATGCATCTACATTGTGCACCACACAGTGGCTTACAAATGGCCCCAGATAAAGCACCCATTGTTTAGCATCTCTTCTTGCCTCCTCCACATTGGGGGAGAAGCTCCACTCTGAGCAAGACCATGAACAGATCTCCTTCTTAGGTAAGCATCTCTTAGTCTCAGCACCACATATGGTTAACTTGTAGGTAGGGAAGCAACCAGCTTTGTACATTACGAACTTTGGAGTTCCTTTTTTTATCAGTATGTTCTTCCCAATGACATCTCACTTTATAAAATGAATGGGATGTACATTTTTTTTACTTGCCTGACCTAAATCATTACCAAAGAAGGTAAATGAATATCTGCTTGCAGAGCAGTTTCTGTTCTCCTTGGAATATTTTGGTTTTTTTTGCCCCATCCCCAAGCCCCAGATTGAGTAATTTCTAGACTTCCATGAAGTAACTCGAGTATATATTACCTTCCCTCTTTCCTACTCACCTCCCTCACCCCCTTCCCCAAGTATGGTTAACAAAGCACTAATCATGTACTAATGCAATAGATCTTGGCTTTTTACTCTCTTCTGTTTGTGTTGTTTGGCTGTCATTTTCGATGCAGTGCTGAAGACTGTGCCCTTTACTGCTCGCACCGCCAAGCGTGGCTCTCGGTTTTTCTGCGAACCTGTTCTTACTGAGGAATACCATTACTAAACTGTTACTTTTTCTCACCTGACGCTCTTAAAAGGTTGCTCCAGGTTTTTTTGACTTCTTATGCCCCCATCTATGTGTCTGTCAAGGTCACCCAACCCATTAGCATGGCATTGCTATCTCCATGTTATATTTTGTGTTGTCCTCATCCTTCATAGTTTTGCATTTCAGTCATTACTGCTTACTCACTACCACTTTCAATACATGTATGTATCAACATTGCTATGATGGTTTGGGTGCGTATAACAGTTGAATTAATATAATTGCTTGTGGGAATTTTCAGAAAAATAGTAAATAGAGCACTTCTTTCAGAATCAGAATTGCAACCAAATAGGTTGCTTGTAAGATTTTGGTCTAATATCTTTGAACACAAAATGATAGTCATTAGTAATAACAACTACAATACCTAACACTTATTGAGCACTTATTGTGTTCTAATAGGTTTATAGATATTAAAGTAGGCCTTTGTTTATACTCAGTTAACATGCTTATAGTAAAATGGCCTGCTATACAAAAGTGCTCAGGAGCGCAAAGTGTTCTAAAGTAGCAAAATGATTTGCAGAAGGAACTATGCACAGTTGTAAATTGAGCCTTTCTTAACTGTCTTATTATAGTCCATAGTGTGATGGAACTCATAGTATGAGGTTAACACAGACAGCCCTTTTGACCTAGAATCCTGTATATGCTGATGCAGGCAATCCGTAGGCTCACAGTTCCCTCTCGGGGCAGGTCACCTCTATTCCGTCTGAGTATCATGCCCAAGTTCAGCTATCAGTAATTCCATGTTGGAGCGAAACTGTGAGGCAGGAGGTGAAAATAAAGGCTTAGGAGCTCCCCTCCATGAATGTCTTATCTCATTCATGCATCTTCACTGGTGGCTCCATTCCATGTCAGACCCAGGGTACTTCTTCTGTAATGAGATCATTTCTGGACCTGCTGCTTTGGTCAGGATACCTATCACCTATCATTGGAAAACGCTGTTCTTAAATTTTAAAAAAGTGATCAAATTTTCCCAAGAAGTAACTTCCTAGGCTTAATTTCTGATACCTAATAAGGAACAAACCCCTCCAATACCTAGAGGATTAGAGAAGAAACAAGGGAAGCACATACTGTCATTGGAAATACTTTGACTTTGCTCCCCTGCTGAGATTGACATGGAACTGAGTGTGTCTATTTTGTGGCATAACTATTCTGTGAACTGCATTTGTTATGTATGTTCTTTCATCTCTTAAGATATCAAAGGACATAGTGTGTCATTGTCTGCTCTGCAACCTACTTACCCACCAGTGCTTATTAACAGGCTGGAAACTGTTGTCTGCTTGACCAGTGTTTGTTGTCAGTTTTGCTGCTGGACTGTCTGTCTTTCTGGAGCCAATCTTCAAAGCAGCTTGAAACTGGGTGGTCAAAGTTAGCTGGGTGGAAACACACACTCCTCCTTCCCTTATTTTATCTAACACTTCTTGTAATAATGGCCTCCCAGTCTCTTTCTCTGTTGGCTAACATGCCCGGGAATATTAAGCACTAAGTTGAGTTGCTTTCCATTTTCATCCCATTTTTACTTAACCATCATTTTTTGTTTTTGTTTTTTTTCTGTTTAGCCTTAAAGAAGAATAATATCACTAAATTTCCAAATGTTCACTCGAGGGTAAGGATTTCTTCTAGCACACCGGTGGTGGAGGATACACAGAGCTGGCAAGCATCACTTTTTACTTAGTTTCCTCCTCTCTCTGTATACAGATCAATGGTTTCAATCTATGGCTGAGGGTAATATTGTTGAGAATTCTGACCAGGGAGAAGAAGTCTTTGTACCTAACAGTCCAATGATCTGAGGCTGAGCCTCTGTTGGACTCTTCCTCGGCCTGCTTCCATGTTCTTAAGTGTGATGCCTTGGGCAAGGGTATTTGCTGATTAAATGTACTTGGCTTTGGGAGCGAGGCTGTCCTTCCTTTACCTCCTTCTTGGCCTTTGAGTTATTGTTAACCCAGTTTTGATCTGAAGAGATTAAAAGCAGGTCCTGGCCAGGGAACATGCTGCTCTACAGCCTTTGAATCTTTAGAACTGCTCAGAGGACTCAAGAATCACAGAGCTGCATATCCTTAGCCAAAAGTGCAGCTCTCACCTTCCATTACCAGTCTGGGCTAGGAAGCAGGGGCTAGAGAGGATTAGGGCATACAAAAATATTCTTTGCTTCAATTTCAAAGGAGTATGGCAAGGTCACAAATTCCAGTGATTCAGGAACCAGGAAGGTAACATGCCTGGTGAGGACTGTGCTGAACCTGAGAGCATAGGTACTAGTTACATCTTGCTTTTTGCCACGCAGGAATTTGGACCCAGTATTGCCAGATCTTCCAATTTTCCAACAGAAGCCAGAAACCTGGGTTTTTATGTTAATTACCAATTTGAATATCAGGAAACTGTATTTAAAAATATGCGAGGTACAACCACTGGGGCAAAAAATATTCTCTGGGCCAAGTATGGCCCATCAGCTCCATTTTCAGTGAACTGAAAAGATTCAGTCTGGTTTAATTCTGTTATTTGTATTTCCCTTTCTAAAGTTAGAATGTTTCTTAGAAGAAGTCAATAATACTAAGTTAATAAAAGGTAAATATATACTAATCAAACAAAACAAGGGGAAAAATACAAAATCTACTTTATTTTTTTCACTATGCCCTAACTCCATCAAAAAGAGGCTACCTGGGGCCGGCCCAGTGGAGCACTTGGTAGAGTGCAGCGCTTGGGAGCGCGGCGGTGCTCCCACTGAGGGTTCGGATCCCATATAGAGACCGGTCCACTCACTGGTTGAGTGCGGTGCTGGCGCGACACCAAGGGTTGCGATCCCATTACCGGTTACGAAAAAAGACAAAAAAGGAAAAAAAAAAAAAAAAAAAAAAAGAGGCTACCTGCTGTCTAAGCTACCTGCCTTTTTCAAGAAAGCAGGCCTTATACTGAGTGCTTATGTAAAATTTCTGTTCATTCCACTTTATCCCACTAGAGCAATGCCCTACTTGAACTGATATGCAGTGAATCATTCAAGGCTTTTTTTTGTTTGTTTTTAATGTCAGGCATTTTGCTATGCACTAGCAACAGAAGCTGGAAAATGCAGGAGGGCCCATACAACTTCTCCCTGATGATGAAACACAAAATATATTGGGTGGGAGATAAGAATGTTTTCGGTGGGGTGGGGAGCTGGATGGTCTGTTAAGAGTGCAGTGTTATAATACTAAGGTCAAGGGTTCAGATCCCCATACCGTGACAACCCCCACACCTCCACCCCCAAAAAGAATGTTCAGGGAATGGAGTCTTTTGATTTAGATTTAATGGTTAATTAAACATTATGTTTCTAATTCACGCACACAAAAAATAACCTCAGCCAGCTTAGTGGAATGAAAATAATGGAACCTGTATCTGCAAACTCAGGCCTTTTCTTGTTAAAACTTCAAGGATAAGACAGGGCAGTCTGTTTTACTAGTCTTGCAGTTTCAAATTCATTGCAATTCTCATTGATATTCAGGCTTCCAGAGGGGAAAAAAAAAGTAAGCCACAGCTGCCTCCAATTGAAGAAACATTTCAAAATGTTTCTTCAGCTAGACTTTCTGGCCAGTGACAGAAATTATGTCCCATATATTTTTCTCAAAGTCTTAGAATCCTACAAGTATTATATCCTATTTTGTTTGATTGTAAATATCAAAAGCAAATATACAGTCTTTGGTTCAATGCTCAATGAGTTTGAAGGGCCCATTAGCTGACTCTTCTACACAAGCTGCTTTGATTGGCTGCCAGCTGGCCTTTATCTTGCTTAGACACATGGTATTAAGGGTTGCTATTCTCTCATTGGCACTCTCCTCTTTACAGATCTTAGAAACCAACCATACAGACGAGCCGATGCGGTGAGGAGAAGTGTCAGGCGGCGTTTTGATGATCAGAACTTGCGTTCTGTTAATGGTGCAGAAATAACGATGTGAACCCAAGACCTGCCTGCATGAATAGAGGGTGTGCGTAAATGAAACTGCCCATGTGAACTTTATGTGCTACCATTTAACTGCAGCCTTGAACTCAGATAAAATATTCTTAAGGGCTCAGATTTAGCAAAAACATAGGAATTAATGATGGGCTCTCCTTCCAACCCTTGTTAACAAGTGCCTAAAACTGGAAGTACCTGCTCAGATTAATCAAAGCAATAGGATTTGATTTGATTAGGTATCTTTTTACACCAGTATGTTATTCAATTTTTTTTAACCAAAATGTGCATTTCATATTAGATTCATTACCTGACATTGTGATCGTCCTATGATGGTCCACGCACCCTGGATTCCTGATAAGTTGTAAATAACATGGATACATCTGCTGTGGGCTTCCTTTGCTGAGATGTCCTTTAAGGAATTTGTATTTTTAAGGACTTGCAACGTGGAGAGGAAAAGTCACATGATAAACTACTTCTGTCCATAACCAAGCCCCAGCAAACTGCAAACAGGATGCAATTGCAATGGCATGGAAGTCACACAACTCTGTCTCCAGTTTTACACTGTACTTCTGTGCTGGGGTACAATGCCCTGTGACTCATTCACTGGTTATGAACACAAGGACATGATGGCATAAAATGTATCACTTATTTGCAGTACTGTGTTCTTCAGCTAGAAGCAGCTTTTTTAATAATGCAAATATATTTATTAGCACTGAAAACTAACATCTCAGAAATCAGTATGAAGATTTATGAGGACCATTATGGGTCAATCTTGAGAACAGAAATTGGTGCCTTGCTAGCCAGGGAGAAGTTTACTAACTCCATCAACTAGCATTCAAGATTACATCTGCTAACAGAGTAGTACTAAGAAACTGGCCTTATTCCTGACAATCGCAGGGTTTCTTTCTTTTTCCTTTTAAGATACACGTGGCGTCATCTATCAGAGCTATATTGTTCTTGTGTCTTTCCCAGATTACTTATGGGGAATTTCAGTTAAGTTGCTGAAAAATATTAACATTGGGATTAAGCTTAAATATGTAATGGGACTAAATGGCCAACTAGGCCACTGTTATTTTTCTCTCCTCTTTAGCAGGGCACTTGATCCATTCCAAAGTGAAAACTGGACTGAAGCTAAATTTGTATTTTTCATAATATACATTCTGCTTCTGGCTTACCTTCTTGGTACATCAATATATTAATTGTAAAATTTATTGTATAGTATTTAACCACTGAATTTCTTATTTTATGTTGTGCTTATGTGAACCCCTGGTGAAGGTCCCTTTTCCTTGGATAATGTGTAGTTATATTATCTCTTTTAAAATGTACAGATATTTTGCTATAAAATTGGTGCAGTTTTTTATGGTTTTTACACTTCTCTTTAATTCCCACCTAAGCCTCTGGGTAATATTGTAAATATTGTTTAAAAATGCATCAGCCTATGCTATACAATCTGAATGTTATTTTAACTTATAGTTTTTTGTTGTTTTTTTTAATATATATTTAACTACAAGGACAGTTTAGGGATCAGTTACCACATTTCACTTTAGCGTACCTATTTACACAGATTACTTTTAAACTGCCACCTGATGGCACATTTCCATAAAATGTGTACTTTAAAAAGAACATGCCAAGATTTTCTTTCTGTTAACTCACATTCATTCTGATGAAAATAGCAATTTGACCATGAGATATAACACAAATAGTTGGACCTTTGCCACAAAGCAGCTGTTTTCCAAAAGCTTAATGCTGACATGCATATGTTAAAATAATTGCTTATTTATTAATCTACAAGTAGATAATGTTGGCATGTTCTTTTCTGTTTGTCTATTAATGGGCCTGCTTCTTAGCAATATTAGAAATGTTTTATAATTCATGTTACTTTTCTGGTCTCTTATGGCATATGAGCAAATAAACTATTTACACTACTATTCTGTAATAAGTTGTCATTCTTCAATGATACAACTGCTAAAACCCCCCAAGATGTATGTAGACTTATCTTCTTGGTATTTGAACTCAGAATCCAAATACATACATCTTGTAAATTTTAGGAAGAACACCTCCCTATATGAATTCTTGACCACTTGCTGTATAGAATGTAAGAATGAAATAGATTTTGGTAGTGAGAGATACATGTACAGTATCATATTTATAAACTTACTGCTTCCAGAGAAACAGCGCTCTTGTTTGGTGAGATGCCACCCCCCAAATCTGTTTTAATTAGGGTGTTGTACAAATGCATATAGGTTGTGTGTGCAGAGTGGTAACCCTGTACCTGACAACTACACTGGTTGACAACGGACATGCAAGCAATTTGGCCCCCAGTGCAAACACATACTGATATTTGTAATAACTCCAACTTATCAGAAAAGTTTGTGTAACACTGAGTATATTCATTTTATGGAAACAAGGGAAATAATAGCTATTTTAGAAAACCTCCCAAGTGGCCTAAAAAAAAAACTTAGAGGGGTAAAAGGTATAGTCATTTAAGGAACTGTTTTACAATAAATAATTCAGTCACAACTACTGTAGCGTACTTTACATTTGTCACACCTGGCTGTTTATATGTAATCTTTATTCCTCACAAGCCTGAGGTATTTACTGTTAACACTGTTGTACATATGAAACCGATTCAGCAAAATGAAGTGACTTGCACAGGGTCACAAATCTAGTAGGTGAAAGAGCCCAAACAAATATTAACTAGGTTATTTTTTCCCAATTCAGTGCACTTTCCACTACACCAAGTTATACAAAGGTGGTAGAAGCTTTATTTTATAAAAGGGCGGAAAAGTTAAATCCTGCACTTTGTAAGATTCTCTAACTTGTTTTATAGCAGGACAAGTGCCTAATGGTAAAAGACAGACCTTGAAGGTCTTTAATACTCCAAATATTCAGAAAGTTTTCAAATCCAAACTACAGCAATAAATTCAAGTGAGGCAGACAGATATGGCTAGGTTTAGGGCATTATATACCAGTAGCATAATTCTTAAAAAGATGTTTACCAATGACTCAGAATTAAGTGCCCCTGTTCTACATTCCCCATCCTCTAACACTAAAATTCACTGCAATGCCCAGTGACTCTCCTGACCCAATTCTGCTCATTATAGAATGAGACTTGATATCTATCACTGACTCTGCTTTGGTTCAACATACTGGCTTTTTCTCTTTGGAATTACCTAATTTGGCTCCACTGCACAATGGACAGTGCACTGGACTTCTAGAATTACCTATTTTTACATTAGAAGACATACTTTTATAATAACTAGCTTTACAATTCACATATCAATTTTAACTTTTTTTTTTTTTTCCTTTTTGTCTTTTTTCGTGTCTGGCAACGGACCGCAACCCTCAGTGTCGCGCCCATACCGGACCGGGACCGGCAACGGGATCGCAACCCTCGGTGCTGCGCCCGCCCCTCGCTCAGCGAGTGAGCGGGAACCGGTCTGTATGTGGGATCCGAACCCTCGGCGGGAGCGCTGCCGCGCTAAGCAGCGCACTGTAGCAGTGCGCCACCGGGCCGGCCCTTAATTTTAACTTCTGATACAGTTCCTCAGCCATAAAATACTCATTTCCTAATTTTTATTATTGGAAATGTCTGCAAAGATTTATCAGCAGTTCATATGAAAGGGTTAATTTGTTAGTATTCCATTTCTTTTTAAGCAGATTCCCATCTTTTTTCAAGAAAAAATTTGAAGCAAGGAACAAATACATAGAGAAAGTGTTGATATACTTTTGAGAAAACAGAATGTGGGCACTATCAACTCAGCACAGAACTGCCTGTGAGGAGTGCTTAAAGGAAAAAGTTGACAAATCCAACTTATTTAGTAAAAGATGCCATTTTTTTTCTAATAAATTATATTTATTTACAAAAGACCTAATTTTATATATTTCTTTACATCACAATATATAAACAGAAGCGAAAATCTGGTAATTACAAACACAGAAACCTTGTTGCCCCCTATTACTCACCTTTCAGAACAAGTCCTTGGTTCAGTTGTAGAGGTAGGTAGGCAAGAAGACCAACACCTACCAAAAGAGTTTGCAGGCAGAACCAAAAGAAATATTGATAAATAACACATTTAGATACCCTAATGCACAGCATAAAAGAATAGTATCAAGAAAAGGCTTAAGTTGAATCTGATCTGATTAACCAGCCACTCACTGTTTCACAGTCTATGAATGGGAGCAGGGTGAGGGGATGGGGTGTGTTAGCCAATTCCCCCTAAATATAGATCAACTTTACACCTAGGGTAATTACCATCAAGTTAATGGAAAATTCCCAATCACAAGGAGATGGCCTTGAACTAGATTATATTGAGAATCACAAAAGCAATTTTGATAGTCTTTATACAGCAACTTTAAGAAGCAGAGAATCTACTATAGTTAAGGAACTTAGGCCAGGTTAGAATGGAAGGGTAGGGAGTGTGGGTAATTGGAGCAAAATCATCGCTCACTTCCCACCTCACCTTTAAGTCAGCTCCAATAAACTGAGTGCTTGCCATGTCACCATGATTCGCCCCTATTAAAAAATAGCCAGAAATGATTAGGTTTCAGCTTAGAATTTAAATTGTATGTTCTCACAAGCTTTTGGTAATTTCTGAAGAGTTAAGGTACAGTCACTAGACCTTACTTTAGGTGCACTTTAATTATGACCGTGGCTTTAGTTGTAGATTAGTATGGTTATTGCAATGATGCTTTTCCAAGCCTTTTAATACAAATGATCAGTATCATGGATACTGGATGAGTACCTATATCAGCTTATATTTTACATTCATTTAATATGTGCCTGCTATGTGCCAGGCATTGTCCTAATCCACAGGGACATATATAGCAGTGAATGAAACAGACCACTCCCTGCCACAGAGAAACTTACATGACACCATTTAAATGAAAATAACTGCCATTTAAATGAAAATAACTGGAAAACTTAAGAGCAAGGTAAAAATAATAAGGAAGGTGAGAATTATTGGACTGCTATATGCCATTACGAGAGGCACAGAATGAGATTATAAGGGTATTAAAAGCACAGTTACATGAAGATCTCATGTTAGTTTGCTTTTCTCTTATGTAAAATGAAGTTTTACCTAGAGAATATAGGATGGTTTAATTAAGATCTACCTGGTACATCCCCCAAGGGAAAATAAAGTCACAGATTGAAAATATAAGGAATTAACGTATTTTGCTTTTGTTTTTAAAAATATTTAGTTTTAAAAGCTAAAGTTTTTAATTTTATAATTTACATATAAATTATACAATATACTTAAATTACCTATAAACTTCAAAAAAAAAAAACATTCACCACTATTCCCTGGGTGCTATCTGATTAGAAACAGTTCTTTCTTATATATTATCTAAGTTTTTTTTAAAAAAAACTTTATATAAAGGGGTTATACCTCACTGGATGCAAAAATAAAAGTGGCTGCCTAGCCAGCACTTAGCTATTAGCACTGGAAGAAAATCAGGAGCATTTAGGCAAATGCTTCTTAAAGTGTATAACCGAAGTCTATAAATGAATGAAAACTATGGATCATATAGTTTGAAACCGAAAACTTTCCAGAAAAATGTACACAGAAACTATTTTAGGGGCCGGCCTGGTGGCGCACTGCTACAGTGCACCACTTGGGAAGTGCGGTGGCGCTCCCGCTGAGGGTTCGGATCCCACATACAGACCGGCTGCTCACTGGCTGAGCGAGGTGCGGGAGCAACACCTAGGGTTGCGATCCCGTTGCCGGTCCTGGTCCGGTACGGGCGCGACACTTAGGGTTGCGATCCGTTGCCGGTCACGAAAAAAGACAAAAAGGAAAAAAAAAAAAAAAAAACAACCTATTTTAGGAGTTTTTACAGTTTCTACACCCTACCACTATGAATTGATTGGATTACTTGAGGACAATGCTTTTTCATTTTATAATTGTATAAACTGAGACCTAATTAAACAACAGTCAGAAGATCAAATACCTGTGATTAATCATTATCAAATTTACCAGGAGGCATAGAAAGTACTTCCATATGTTGAAAAACATAAATAATCTCTATTCTGAAGCTACTCTGAATAATGATCATAAAATGCTGACCCCTATGTTGAAAAAAGTATGGTAAGACCATTACTTTTACTTAAAAGCATTACATTATTTAAATTCACTTATGAAGAGTGCAAATAATTCTTCACACTTGATTGGCTAAATTATCTAAATATTCATACAAATCCATTTTCCCACATAGTAATTATGGACTGAGAAAAAACAAAAACACCAAATATTTGAAGTCCCAATTTTGATTAGATATGATATTAAATGTATTAGTGAATTTAATCTAATAATTCATTAGTACTAATACTGAGGGAAGATAAAGACTTAACATTTTCCTAAGAGTCTGAGGCTTCAATGAAAAGTATAAATTCCCCTTATGTGAAAGTAAAAATGCTTTCCCGTTTGAACACATTTGTTCAACTCTTAATAGAACCAATATTCCAAGACATTTCAGCTTTTAATCTGTCAGGATAAAAATATTCACGGAGAACTCTAACAAAATCTTTCCAACACCTCTGCCTTCAGACTGTAAGGTATCTTTCTGGCAATTAAATCCCATTTGATGGGACCATCAATGGTAGAAAAAAGATTACAGTCACTTCCATTACATCTTTTATAACAAGGATGTTGCATTTTGATTTGCAATTTGTTCACTACTTTAGTTTTTAGGTCAAATAATTTTCATAGGTGAACTAAAGGGAAATGTGAATTTATATTGTCTTGTAGGGATCTGAGGTTGTGATAAGATTATAAGAAATACAGAAATCTATTTTGAGGACATGCTAAAACACATCAATAGTTTTTTATTTAAATAGAAAAATCAAAACTTTAAATTTGTACTTTAAAAATCATCATTCATGGAAGTAATTTAAACAGTTTTACAGATTCTAAATTCTCTCATGAAACATCACTAGTATACCTGCCAATAGCATATGCATATTTTAAAGATTTTCCACTGATTTCCATGTCAAGTGTTTGACATGATTAGCAATATTAACTATCATTGCAATGGGACCTCTGAAAATTAAGTCTAGGCAACTTCTTGTTGCCAAAGTTATGTGTTTTGACTCTAATATACAATAGGAGACTAATCTCAAGCAAGCAATTTGATTCACATTTTCTCAAAGATAATGATTCTTACTTTCTACAAAATTGTGGCATACTTCATAGCAGAAAAATGGCATGGCAGAGAAAAGTTTAGAAACAAATTTGCCCCCTTTTTTGAGGCTTTCAACAGTGGACACTACATTTATTTCAAACATGGGGCAGGATGAGAAAGAGTCGTCTTGGTCAGTCCCACTTTCAAACTCATTAGGATGGTAAGGGAAAAACTGTTCTTCTAAATTGTCCAAATTAAAAGAATAACAAAGATAATACCTAAGATAATACCAAAGCGTAAGAGCTAAAATTTGCTTATTTACTTAAAAAAATTTCCTGCACTGAAGGAAAATAGTATAAATTACATTACCAACCTGCAAAAGTTAGCATGTAAAGAGTATTCTATCTTCAAGCCATTACCTCTCTAAAATATTCTGTAGGAAATTCATAGATGAAAAACAAATCTAGGGACCTCAAATGTACTGATTTATAATATTCTTAAATATTAAAAAAAGGAAAGTAAACTAGCTATGTAGGTAAGATGAAGCAAAATTTCAAGGATTTAGTATCTTTAAAATGATCATACAATTTCTTTAGAGCTGAGCAGTTTAAGTAGAAATAAATACTAGTACACACTAGAAGAGAAGATTTAATAATTGATAAAAATGTACAAAAATATTCAAATCAGAAATGCTTTAGAATGTGTACCACGAAGTCAATACTTCTCAGTGAGCAGGGAAGGTAAAAGACTTCCTCAATGGGGGAAAAAAAAAAAAAAAAAAAGGCAAAAGAGAAAGACTGGATTTAAAAAAACAACTGTTAAAGAAAATGTTTAAGTCAACATCATTTTTTTTTTTTAAGACAAGAATATAGCAACTATCACTTAAAGTTTGGTGGCACATTCTTTAGTAGGTCCTTAAGGCAATATATTTAAACTAATTTACAATTTGATTTGATGTTAACTTTTTAAACATCACCTCAAAATAGATGCTCAAAATAATGCCCTCACAATAGCCTTTTTAAAATGTATTCAGATGTTTCATAAAAAATAATGGTGGCTTTATTACAGTAGTGCTCATTAGCACCACTATAATTACGGGTCTACCAAGCTTACATCAAAAACACCTATTTCTTAGTTCACCATAAAAGATAACATTGGCTTTAACCAGTTGGGTAGTGCACAAAAAAGCAGTTTTATCAGTTGCTGGTGCTTTTTTTGTACTACTATATTATCAAAATTTTATCATATCTTCAAAATCCAACTTCTATAAAGTAAATCAAATCACCTCATGACTTAGACTTTAGAACAAAGTAGAGACATCTGCAGTTATCAGTAAATTGCCACCTTTAATCCATCCTGCAGTGCCCTATGAAAGGGTCACAGAAAGACAGTTATGACTGTATGAAAATATGATTCTTGATACAGAATCAGAAGTTATTTTCAATTTTCTTTGCATTTATAAAGTCCACAATAACAATACTTAAATGCACTTTTTTTTTCTGTGATATAATTAAAACCCAGTGTTATTTCAATTGAACTTAAAATAGAGTCCCTGGTCAGAATTAGACTTTAAATCATACTGTAAACATGTATTTGGTATAATTTATTGATCATCGTCCAGTTGCTCCAAAAGGGTTCTTCTGCGCTTTTCCAATTCCCCTTCACTCAGTTCGCTGCCAGAAGTGTCCCAATTACCCTGAAAAAACATTGAATACAATTGTAGTTGATGCCACTATTCAGAAGGTTAAGTAATGAACCTTTGAAAGAAGAATTTAACATCTATACAGATGCTCTTCCACAGATAAACAAATTTCATAGGGTTTAAGGACTGACCTCTTTCCCAAAAGCCCAATAATGGGTTGTGGAGTAAGTAGTCCTTGGTTATATATATCAGAGAAAGTAATTTAGAATGAGACTTTTTATGGTGCTACTTTGAATTTACATTAATATATAAACCAGTGAGAGTAATACAACTGGTTTCTTTTTCTTCCTTTTACACAGTGAGTATGAAACATCTTGCTTCCATTTAATGAAAGCCAGGTATTCATATCCTAGGTACTATATTCCTTGCTTATTTTGCACAGATTCTAGGTGTCCTTTAAGTGCTTTATATCACAAAGACGTAAATATCATATGCTTTAAGCATACTGATTCTTGTGCCCAAATAAATAAACACACAAGATTTATGAGCGAGACAAGATTTAGACTGAAAAAACAAACAAAAATAATATTGCATTATGTGAGATACAACCTTGAAAAGTGGATACTTCACCCATTCTCCTTCACTTCAGGGATTTTGTTTGACCCACTAAGGAAGAAAACTATTAAGCTGCTGATAAGTATAGAGGAAGCATTCATTCGTCACTAAAAATGTGAATCACTCACCTGTTAAAGCTTTAAAAAAAACAAAACAAAACATCCACTCTGTACCATCTGAATCAGCATATCCAGAAGTAGGGCCAGGGCTTATCTACATAGTTAATGCTCACGACTGATGATTTATAGGCATTACCCTTGCTAAACCTACAGCATCTGTATAGGGAACTGGCAAGGCTAAGAAACCTTGTGGTACTGTATTCTATTATGAGGGTATTTCAAAAAGTTAGTGGAATATGGAATTAAAAGATAACACAAATCTTTCCATGAACTTTTTGGAGACTTCTCGTTTTTGTATATATGGAAAACTAAAGTACTTATGTAATTTGACATTAAAATATTAACTTTGGCTTCTATTCCCCTCCTAGTCATATGCCCTCCTTCCCCCAATTGGTATTTCTAAAAGTTATTGGAATACTACCTTTTGAAACTGGATTTAGTAGAGATCTGCAGAACCCCTGATTTGAATGTCCTAAATTTTATATTCTTTTGATAATGTACAAAGCAGAACATCATATCCTTTCTTTTTTTTTTGTCTTTTTCATGACGGTAAGGGGATCACAACCCTTGGTGTGGTGTCGCCCACACTGCGCTCAGCCAGTGAGTGCACCGGCCATTCCTATATAGGATCCGAACCCGCGGCGGGAGCGTCGCTGCGCTCCCAGCGCCGCACTCTCCCAAGTGTGCCACGGGGTCGGCCCCATCATATCCTTTCTTAGTGAGTTAAAACTATAGTTATAAAATGCTGTGCTTTATTTTAAGGAATATAATATTTAGGAGACTGAAATCAAGGGTCATTCATGGCCATATGTTACAAAACTATTTCGTTTGAGACGTAGTTAACTGAATTTTCATTGTTTTCTTCAATGATAGCAGACTTGAAAAAAATTTATTCTTTAAACATCACTGTAGTTTTAACCACAGTATCCATTTCTTTATTTTGAAAATATAGATACGAAACAATTCCAAATACTTACAGAATCCTTTCCAGTCTTTTTCTTAGGTGATTTGTGTTTTGATTCTGATCTTTGTCTAGTTCTGTCTTTTTCACTTTCCCGGTCTTTTTCTTTTTTATCCTTCTCTCGCTCAGCATCTGATTCTGGAGAGTCCTATGTAAATAAAAACTAACGTGTCAGCATTCTGTTTTTTAAAACTCCTTACATAGGTTAATATTTTAAAATATTCATGTACCACAGGATATGTGTTCTTTGAGTTGTGAAATATAATTTGAATTGTTAACCTCAAGAATTCTGTTAAGATTTCCCCAAGATTCATGGACAGCTGGTCTTTCCCATGGAAAGGATGACATTCTGATGGCAAAATACCACTAAAAGAGCCTCACTAGCACTTCAGATGGGTAATAACTACTATTAAATATAAACAGATACATTTTTTACCAACCCAATATAGCATTTACTTATTTGTATATGTATACAGGATGCTACTGTTAGCTTAATCACATATGAGGTTGACAGTTATATAATAAAATTCTTTCCTCAAAAATTGCTATTGAGAAGCAGGAATTATTTAAAATGTAATGTTAGTGCTTAAATAAGTGTTTCTTAACTAGATATGCACAAATTCAAGCAAGCAGCATTAAAAATAAAATTCCAATAGGTTGGTGATGGTAACCAGGCCCTTACATTTTGAAAAAACTTCTTACAACAGTAGATGAGTGGTTGTTTACATATTTGAATTTGCGCCAGCCCCGTGGCTCACTCGGGAGAGTGTGGCACTGGTAGCACCGAGGCTGTGGGTTCATATCCTATACAGGGATGGCTGATGAGCTCACTGGCTGAGCGTGGTGCAGACCACACCGTGCAAGGGTTGTGATCCCCTTACCGGTCAAAAAACAAACAAAAAAACCCACTGATAATAAATAAATTAATATTTGAATTTGTGGCTCTCAACAACAGCTGCAATATACAAACACAGAGAAACACACATACACACACCTCTTTTCTTGAAGATTTTTTTTTTTCCTTTTTGTCTTTTTTCGTGACCGGTAACAGGATCGCAACCCTTGGTGTCGCGCCCGTACCACGACCGGCAACGGAATCGCAACCCTCGGTGTCGTGCCCGCACTGCGCTCAACCAGTGAGCAGACGGTCTCTATATGGGATCTGAACCCTCGGCGGGAGTGCCGCCGCGTTCCCAAGCGCCGCACTCTACCGAGTGCGCCACCGGGCCGGCCCTTGAAGATTAATTTTAAAGATCAGAGTGGGAATCCTAACACTAGTATGTGTGTATTTCTTCAAAGCTCACCAAATGATTTTAATAGACGATTAAGATGAACAACAACTATAAAACTATCACTTTAGGTTCTCACCTGAACTGTACTGATCTACTGTACAGGACTACATAGAAAAATGTTCTACGACCATTGAGGAAGTTAGGGCAAAAGCCTAGGTGAAGTGTAAATATTAGAGGCTTGCTTACAGATTTATGTCTCCTTTTCTTACTTTTCTTCTTATGTTTTTTTGACTTCTTATAACTTCTCTCTGAGAAGGATAAAACAAAAAAGTGTCAGAATTTGAGGACATCATCGTGTCAATGATTTTAATCAAGTAAATAGAAACGCTTACCAGACTCAGCACTAGAAGAATGTTCTGAAGCAGAACGGGACTCTGATCGCTGTCTTTTTTTCTTTGAATGGCTGTCATCATCGTCTGAATCTGACCCCTAAACAATACAAATAATTTCATTAGTAGTGATGCTAACAAATATTTAAATACATTCATGGTACCATTTAATAAATTGCCTTACCGATCGAGAGCGAGAACGTTTCCTATGATGTTTTTTAGATTTCTTAGAATGTTTCTTGTTCTTTGAATGATGATGTTGACATTCATGCTATGGGGCAGTAGAAAAAAAAATTTTCAAGAGTTTACATTTACTTTAGACAGCAGAGCAAAAGAAAAACCTATATAAATAAGTTCAGAGTACAACTCCATCATATTTAAGATGTAATCTCTTGAGACTGTGCAAACAATTATCACTTAAGATTTTCTTTTCTCTGTTCCTTCTTACCCATCCCATACCCACTTATTTAAACATCTAAACAAAACAATGTTAAAAAAAGTACTAGTAGAGACACTTGATATTCTAGAAAGGTATAATCTGCGGAATAATCACAACTGCTTTAAGTAACAGTGAAGTAAAATGACATTCAGGCATGGTTTTTCTGATGAATCTGGCTTTGTCAGTGAGCTAGGCCAGGTACTGAGATAAAGAACAATCTCAGAGCCATTCTTGAACTGAAATAAACAAGGCTGATCTCAATAAATGCAAAATCTACCCCTCTTTCTTTTCCTTCTTACTCATGTAAGACATCATTAGGCATCTACATGTTGTCTCTGTGGAGTTCCACTTTTTTTTTTGTCTTTTTTCGTGTCCGGCAACGGATCGCAACCCTCAGTGTCGCGCCCGTACCGGACCGGGACCGGCAACGGGATCGCAAGCAACCCTTGGTGTTGCGCCCGCAACTCGCTCAGCCAGTGAGCGGGAACCGGTCTGTATGTGGGATCCGAACCCTCGGCGGGAGTGCCGCCGCGCTCCCAAGCAGCGCACTGTAGCAGTGCGCCACCGGGCCGGGCCGGCCCAATTTCCACTTTTATATTAAAATAATTATCAGGCTAATGGAAAAGGGAAAGTAAAAGCTCAGATATCTATGGTTATGAAAATAAATTATGCTTCTGTTACATATGGAAAAGCCGGCCCAATTTCCACTTTTATATTAAAATAATTATCAGGCTAATGGAAAAGGGGAAGTAAAAGCTCAGATATCTATGGTTATGAAAATAAATTATGCTTCTGTTACATATGGAAAATAGAAAATGTGGCTCAGAAGAGACTCTTATCCTTTTTATCTCAATGAGTGCTAACCTTTCTTTTCTACCTTAAGGCCCAGGTTATTGGGATCCAAAATCTGAATGTGTTCATTTCTTCCCTATGCTACCATCTTTAGCTCCATTTACTGCCTCACTACTTTACCCTGGAACAGATCATGAAATAATCTGGCTAGAGATTCTTGAGTTGAAGGAAAAAATTAAATGTATATTCTAATGCCTCAGAATATGCTTAAAATGAAGACTATCATGCAGGATTATTGCCATGGGGTCCAAGGTTCTGCTTTTCCAACAAGCTCCTAGGTAATGCAGATGCTGGTGTGAATTTCACTTTGAGTAGAAAAGATCTAGAGGCCACCAGGACCAGATGTAAAGGCAGTTGTGAAACAATATAGGGCTTATGTGAGTACATGTTAACAGGGATAATTGTTGTTGACATTGATACTAACCAAGAAAAATAAATCCAAAGAAATAGTGGTCAGTCAATTCAGTGACCTCCTATGCCCAATTACACTGCAACACTATAATATTAAATACATACTAGCTTTTGACCTGTTGTAAAGTATTACTCTGTCTACAACTGATAGCACAGCATACTTCTTAAAAGCATGACCCTGGAGTCAAAGAGCCTGGGTTGGGATCCCTTCCCTACAAACTACTTTACTTCTCTTTGCCTTAGTTTGCTCATCTGTAACATCATAGGCTTGTTGTGAGAATTAAGTTCAAACATGTAATACATATAAAACAGAATGCCGCCTGGCCCACATAGGCATCAAATATTATTATCCAATAATTATTGGTCAGTTGAGACCCTACCTGAAACCTTCATCAAAATACCTTTACTCAACTAATGGAGTAACTTAAGATTTTTCATTATTTAGTTTAACAAATATTTACAATTTATTACATTATTTTCTAGAAACCCTCTGGGCTCTCTACATATCTAATGTAGTATAATATCTGAAATGTGCTTAAAAGCTATTTTCTATCTGCTTTACAAAAAATTTTAAAGTTTTCTTTAGGTTTACTAGTCAATTCATGTGGCTGCCAAATGGCTGAATTACTAAAACTTTCTAAAAACAGAACACACATAAAAATTTGTGAGATGAAATTATTCATATTTCCATGCAAACTTATAATTTGTTTCATTGAAAAGCAGTTTTCATAGAAAAAAACATTCCCTCCCTAATCATCCCAGGGATATACTAGTATAAAAGCAGTGAATATTAAGAAATATACTTTGATCATTCTACATTCTTCAATTTTTGTTTATATTTTTATGTATTTTGTAATATTTCAACCAGTTCTGAGAACACTAAAATTACCTCAAGCACATGCATAAAATCTTTAAATATTCGTTTTCTTTCAGACTCTAGAGTTATGTCCTCAAATGCTGGCTCTTTTACAAATCTCTCCCGGATCTAAAAAATTCAGAAATTGAATAAATACATAAATACCAAGAAAAGTATACCAATATGCCTAAAGGAATCATAGAAGCAAGTGAAAAGTAACAACCCAGTCCCCTTAAAATGCATTTTCTTCCTTCAAAAGTCCAAACCATTTTAAACAAATATTCCTAAATGCAGAATCACAGATGACTTAATACTTCTAATATATCCTAAATATATTTAATATATCCTACAAATAACTTTAGCTTATTTTTTTGTGGCTATAAAATAGTAAATAAAATAGAGATATTTTCATTTTTCAACTGTAATGAAAACTCATTAGAAAAAATTTAGAAGTATACATACATCTTCCCAGACAGCATCCAATTCTATTGGAGGAGCAGCTTGTTTCAACATACTCTTAAATGCAGATTCTTTTCGTTTCATCTTACGAGCCTCTTCTTTTTCTCTTTCACGTTCACGAGCTTCTGCCTTTTCTAGTAACTATTAGAAAATCATATTTAATCAGTTACAGTAGTACAATTATAACTCCTGTTAACTGAAATAATTCATTCTTCTTATTTTTGAAGTATCCTAACACATCATTTATAAGTGAAGAGGCAATTTATCTACCACGAGTTAATCTGAACAAAGGAAGTTTAATATCAGTCCATTGTCTAAGTACATTTCAGCTTACCTGTAAGACTGTCTACCGCTCTAAAATCCTATTCACATTCTCTTATTCCAATAGACTACAACTGAAGTACTTTCAACTGAATAATTTAAAAACTGTTCTATTAAACTAGTTATTTATAATAGAGAATATTAAAACTTACACTATTGAAAGCCAACTTGATATTTCCGGCATCTAATGTAGTTGATCTTTTCGTTGAACTGATTATTGCCACAAAATCTTCAAAAGTAGTATTTACTTCAACTACAAAGCCTTTATCCTTAAAAAGAGAAATCTTGTTAAAATTAATAATACGTAAATCAAAGGAAGACAGTATCAACTTTTAAGATATATTACAAGTAAGAATAAGGATACTTATTTACCTTTAGAATGTCTTTTATTATCTTCTTCTCATCATGATAACGTGCTTTAAGATCCTCAACATAAAACTTGAAAAGATCAAGGGCAGTTGATCCTAATGAAAAAACTAAAGAAGTCAAAAGCTAGCTCTAACCAAAGAGCTGCAATTACTTTTTGTTTAGAAAACAAAAGTAAAATAAAGCACCCCTCCCCCAACACAACCACCTTCCCCTTTGGCGCATTCCATCTACTACCATAACTATAAATTAGGGAAAAAAATGAATCTCACCAGGCTGACCAAGCATATTAGTGAACCTAATGTCAGAACTAATAGTTGGATACAATTCCATCCAAGATGACATAGAATGTAGTTGTCCGTGTTCATGCAATTCATCTAAAAATATCTGGAGGGTAAAAAAAAAGGAAAGCAACTATATGTGAAAAATCATCTTTAAATACATTAGAAATATAAACGTACCTGAAAACCATGTTAACAATGTAGCAAAGTTTAAAACCTTTCCAATATTGTTATCCCAAACATGTCTGGGTGCGAGTAATATTTGTTATTTGATGAAGGCAAAAACTACTTTTGGGCAAAAAATATTTTGACCTTCAGAGAAAAGGACCTTTGAAACACTACATTATCTTATACCTAGGCTTCAGTTTGCTGTCCCTTAAGATGGAAGACCATTTCCAGTTAAAAAAAAAAATAAAGGTCAAAGCTAACTCAAAATATTGGATCCCTGTACCAGCTAGCTGCAAAAAACAAAAAATAAAAAAATGTTGGATATTACCTATCACAAATGATGAAGTTAAAGAATGTGAATTCATGCTTCCTTTAAAATATACTTTTTTGTTTTTAAACAGAGTACCCAATGTGTTCTAGGTATTTTTATTTAATTTTTTTTAAACAAATGCAGGGCTGTAAAAGGAGGATGTTAATTTTCCCAAAGTAGTTTGGAGATCGAGGATTCAAACCCATATCTGATTTCAAAACCATTTCCTTTCCTCCACATTACTATTTTACCTTTCATACTAAATCTTTTTTTTAATTTGCTTATTCTAATTTCTCCTCCTTTCTTTTTTTCTACGAATTGACTTTCAGGGCAAAATATTGGGACTTTACTACCCAGCAACTTCTATACTTCCTGCTTCCTCTAACCCTTAAGGTAGCTTAAGCCTTTAAACAAATGTCTCTAAGAAACTATGACCCTAAATTCTGTTCCCTCAATCCCTAGACCTGTACTCTTCAATTTGGTAGTCACTGACTACATGTAGCTTCTGAGCACATGAAATGTGGCTACTCTGAATTGTGATGTGCTGTAAGTATAAAATACAATAATTTTGAAGATTTAGTACCAAAAAAATTAATTTTTAAAAATACTGATTACAGGCCGAGCCTGTGGCACATTCAGGAGAGTGCGGCGCTGGGAGCGCAGCAGTGCTCCCGCCGCAGGTTCAGATCCTATATAGGGATGACCGGTGCGCTCACAGCGCTCACTGGCTGAGTGCGGTGTGGCCGGTCTCCAAAAAGGACAAAAAAAAAAAAAATTAATTACATGTTAAAATGATAATATTTTGGGTATTTTGATTAAAATAGATTACCACGTTTGATAAAACATTAAAATTGTTTAGGTGGCATATGTATTTTTATTGGACGGAGCTGCTCTAGAATAACACTAAGTACCTAAAACTCCACTCCTCTTCAAAGGAGAATAAGTACGTCCACACGATCTAACGACTCTGAAATTCTTTGCTCTAAGTGCATCTATCCTTTGCTCCCTACTCTTCAACATAAATGGATCCTATCCTAACCCATCCTTGTGTGGTCAGCAGGGTCCTCACTCGCTCCCTCTTTTGAGCCTCTAGATAGTTTAGAAACCATCTTGACTGATGCCCTCTAGTATCTTAGAATCTACCACACTCTATCATACCTGTTTTGCTAAGTGTTTATTTCACTTACAGGTTGTTGAGATCTGATAAAGTCACAGAGCTGTGAAATCAAATCTATTTCAATAGTGCGTCCCTAACCTGAATGAAAATTATAATCACCTGAGGATTTTTTTTTTAATAAATGGAGAACGGGTTATAATCTGGATTATTTGTAATTTTACTTTTTAAAGATGACCAGATAACTGATGTGAATTCAGGTTTGAAAACCAATCTGATAAAACTTTATGGCTTTTATTCTTTATTTACTAACCCCATCTTGGAGTGAAAAAAATCCTAGTCTTTTACATTATGGAAAGCAAATTGCTTTGAAGATGGCTGAGTCTGATATTTTTCTGTCCCTCAGAAGAGGGGTTCTCAACCTTGGCATGGGGGAGACCTTTTTGTGTGTTTTTTCTTTTCTTTCTTTTTTAGGGGTGTGTGTGTGGGGGAGGCATGTCCTATACATAGTAAAATGTTTAGCAGCAACTCCAGTCTCTACCCACTACCCACTAGAGAGCCAATAGCATCTTCCCCCCAAATAGTGACAATCGATAAAATCTTTCCTGGTTGAGAACCATTGCCTTAGATAATACTCAAATTAATTTTTACTCATCTCCTTCCTTTTTGTTTCTGTATATACTGTTCACAGTATAACTATTCATACATATGTTTGAATTCCAAACCTTCAAAGATTTTGTTTAATGAAAAGACACTCCATCTTTCAATTCTTTCTTCATTCTCTCCCTCTTGACCGGTTTTCTTTACTCATGAAAAGCCTTTCTTTCTCTCTTAATCCCAAGCTTACACTGAACTTCACCTTATTAAAGTATCTGAGAGGATGATCCAATTGTACTTCTATTTACCTTTCAACTATTTGACAACTCTGACTTCCCTCCCATGCCAATGGTCACTAAACAGTAAATGCAACAGTATTTTTTCAGCCCTTATTCCATAAAAATTCTTAACATTTGTTACTCCTGGTGGATTCCTTTAGCTCGGGGGTTTCTCAAAGCATCATTTGAAGAATTATTTAAAAACAAAACCAAAAAACCACCACAGATTATTAGGCCCCACTCCCAGATTTTCATTCAGTAAGTCTGGTGTGGTGTTTGAGAATTTGCAGGTTTACTACAAGTGTGGTGCTGGTAACACCAAGGTCCAGCCACAAGGATCAGCCAAGGTTAGATTCCTGTGGCTAGCCAAAAAAAAAAAAAAAAAAAAAGAGAGAGAGAGAGAGAGAATCTGCATTTCAGTAACTTCCCAGGTGATATTAATATTGTATGTCTGGGGACCATGCCTTCAGGACCACTGTTCTACCTTAAAATTCCATCTTGGCTTCCGAGACACTACACATTCCCCTGGTTCTCCTTTAATGTCTTTGATCAATTCTTTCCAGACTTGAATGAATTCAAACATGAGTTTTAAGACTTAAAAGAAAAATCAAGTTCCTTATCATAGATGTTGCAAATATTTATTATTATGTGACTGGCAAATGAGTACTCAATAAAAACGACAGTGATCATCATTACTACTAAGAATGTTCTTTCCATTCATCTTTTATTGTAAATGCCAATTTTCTGTTTTAATTCATTTTACTGCAGTTCTAAATATACCTTTTGAAAGGTAGGGTAGTAGACACAGGAAAATTATTTGGTTGAATATCTGAAGGACTATCAATACAACATGCTTAATACCACTTACATTAATAGTAATCAGAAACTATGTCAGACACACACCAATCTAACTTAAAGCCATATTTTAGACTTAGCTAAAGACTCATGTGGCCTTTACATTATGATCTCTCCCTTATAGTCTCCAGCTCCAGTACTGATATTCTACATTATATTCTGTCATATTTTCTGTGACCCAGATTGTCTTCTTATCCTCAGTGTCTTATTATTTTTTCATATAGATCTCCTTATCTGAAAACACTGCAACACCTTCATAGGAGACATTAAAGCTCAATTGCTATAGAAGAGTATAAGAGTCTTCCTAAATATCTGTTCTCCCCTTCTTCCTGAGCATATGGCTACTTAGCTAAAAACTAGGTTTTCTGGTCTCCTTTGTAGCTAGCTGTAGCTATGTGATTAAACTCTCAGCTAAATATGAATGAAAGAAGTAAGCAGAACTTCTATATTACCGGCTTTCAAAAGAACTGTTCTCTCAACCTTTTCCAGGTTAATTGTAGCTATGTGATTAAACTCTCAGCTAAATATGAATGAAAGAAGCAAGCAGAACTTCTATATTACCGGCTTTCAAAAGAACTGTTCTCTCAACCTTTTCCAGGTTAAAATGTGATCATGGGGACAGTACTCCCCTAACCATGCACGCAAGGCTAACATGCTAGGGCCTTGGTTCTCAAAGTGTGGTCTTGCAGTACCAACATCACCTGAAAACTTAAAAACTGCAAATTTTCAGACTTAAATTCTTGAAGTGGGACTCAACAATCTGTATAGTTTTAACAGTCTCCCAAATGATCCTCGAGAAACCACCAAGATGAAGGAACCCATCAAGAGTAGTAAATGTTAAGTTTTCATGGAATGAGAACTAAAATCATGCTATTGGCTGTCGCATTTCAGATAGTAACCTTTGGCATTTTTAAAAGCTCTCTAGTTGACTCTGATACAAACTTTTTGAGAACCACTGCTCTAGGGAATGGCAATGTACCCTAAACCTTGGCCCAGACTTATTTCAAGAAACAAACTTATTTAAGCCACTGTAATTTAGCATTTGTCCTAATATAGTGGGTTAATGGAAGAGATCCTGTAATCAAGAGCGTACAGATTCAAAACCTGGCTCCCCTATTCAAGTAGCTGCTGAACTTGGGCAAATCACTTCACCTCTCCATTTCCTCATCTATGTAAATGGATAGAAAAAAATAGTATGTACCCTTATAAGATAAGGCTGCCATAAAAACTGAGATTATAAATGCAAAATGTATTTAACAGTCAATGAATGCTAACTGCTATTTTTATAATTTTTATTGAAATGGGCAATGAATCAAATGCAGAAAGTCTCCTATATACGGTATTTAAAAAATTATGGCCTATGCCCAAACTATACTATAGCATTCCCTACATTCACTAAACACTAAACATCAACTACTACTAATGACTAGTCACAAATATCTTGTTTTTGGTCCTCCCTCATGCTATTTGTTTTTCCCAACAAATAAGCCTTCCCTATCAACGCACACCTTAAATACCAACATCTGCGATAGCCTTCTATGTTCCTTTGCCTAAAATGGCTGTTTAAGTGAATGGGTAACTAATTGTAGACCTTAAAAAGTTTAAATGTGTATGGGTCCTCCACAAAGCCTAAGTCAATCATCTGGGAATATGTACCTCAAAACTGTTTACGTCATTGTTCAAGCTCAGTAACCATATTATAAAACTAAGCTAGAAGAGAGGTTTTTCTATTACCTGAAAAGATTCCCTATTTTTTCGCTGTCGTCTCCTTTCTCTCAACAAACTCTTCTGTTTTTCTTCTTCCTCCTCCTTTTCTAAAGCCCGAATGTGCTCTTCAAAGCAAATTAATGCATCTTCTTTGTCCATGTCTAAAGTGTTTTTCAGTTAAAATACAAAATATCAAATATCAGTAAGGAAAGCAGTTTGATTATTTGATTAACTCCTTTCAAATCTCAAATTCACCTTTCAAAAATACTTGTACTTAAGCTCAAATGACTTGTATTCATCTAAATAGCAAAGTTTTATGGAAAATTTCACAAAGACCCCACTAAAAGATACCCATAACCATAGGATGAAATGAAGAACATGCATATAACAAAAATAATGAAAATAAAATTATTATGACAAAATCTGTCAGCAACATCATAATTACCCGAGAAGCTTTTCAAAGTATAGAATTCTAGGTCCTACCAAAAAACCCAAAGAAGCATGATTTTCAGAGGGGTAGCCAAGAAAGCTGTAATTTAAAAAGCAACTAGATAAGTCAGAAAAAGAGTACTTGGGGAAGCCTAATGTAAGATAATTCTAATATATTTTTGCCAATCTCTAATTAAAGTTACTACCTTAAGAAGAAATCATAAGTAAACTTTGGTAATTAATTTGGTTCTTACCAACTTACATATAAATAGCTAAGTACAATTTCAAGTTTGCCCTATGATTCAGATATTTAAAGGATTATCTGGCAAAGCAAACTTGAATTTCTGGAAAAATACTTTGTCCTGAATCAAAAACTCAATTAGAAGAAGTATACCATTTGGAAATAAAATACTTTTTCAGAAACAAACAACTGTGTAAAATTCAGTTAGTTATCTCATAAAAACAGCAAGAATAACTTTTTGCTGCCAGAGGATACTGTTAAAATTGTTTCCCTCATTTAGTCATTATTCTTACTCTGTAACTCTTCATCTTCTGCAAAAGTTGGATTATCCATCAAATACTGCTGGGCTTCAGACCACGTAGTAGAGTATGTAACATTAGCCATATTGTCAAGTATGTTTTTTAAGGCTTCCCAATTTCTCTTTCGCAACTGCTTTGCTTGTTCCTGTAGCAAAAGTATGAACACAACTTTTAAAGTTCAAAGAAACTAAGATATCTGAATTGCAATTATGAAGGTTTTTGTTACATTCTAATTAATGACCAAATTGCAAATGTTATGCATTTACTTTAAATATCAACACTATTTACTTTGCCAATGCCCTTGCCTAATTTTTTTCACGTCTCTTCTAAATCCAGAACCTTGAAACCATGTTTTTTTTCCCTCCACTACATAAACCTTTCTTCCTATCACTGTGCTGCTGAGGACAAGTCACACAATAGGTAAATGCTAAAGTTCTTCAGTGATCTTCACCTATGTTCAAACTTTTCATAATACTTGGATTTATATATGTTCCTTGAAGACTAGATAATATAAAATTTAATAGCAAACAATGAAATAGACCTGAGTAAAACAGGTGTTTTAAAACACTATCCTATAGCAGTTTCAGTTTAGTGGAAACAACTGCACATTACTGTTATTCTTGTAATAGAATCATAAATAAATTTGTTATAAGCAAAAAATACCCTGAGTACTTTTAATCCTAACGAGCTAAAACAAAGTATCTTATTTCTCAAGATGGACACTGAGACTTACAATTAAAGACATTACAAGTAATATTTGAATAAATTAGTACCTACTGTGCCTACATCAGTACTTACTACGCTAGATGAAGAGGGATAAAGAAACTTATTATGTAGGAAGTATCCATTCTATTTTTAAACCTAACTTCTAATAAACAGATCTGCTGTGCCACATAAAATGGGTAAACGAAGCAACAAAAATGAACATGTTATAAAATAACTCCTAATCAGAAAGAAGAAACATCTCATTTTATCTGTAAATACCAATAACAAGGAATAAATACCTTTTCTTTTTTTGAAAGAAAGAACAAAACATCTTCATAGATTTCAAGACGATCACGCTCTGATATTGCATTCCAGACTTCCATTTCTCCAAACATTTGCTCTGCTTTTCTATTTGTTAAAAAAAGTTATTCTGTATTATACAATAAAAAATTAATTTTAAATCACTTTAATTTTAAACTAAATTTAAAACCACGAAATGAACACTCATCCCCTCTAAATTCTACTATAAAGGAAACTTTTGGATAGTTAAGAAAAAGAACAAAACAGCATAAGCCTCCTTTTCTCCTTACAGATAGAGGGGCTAATTCAGGTTGGGCTACGCTTTATAGTTAAGATTGTCTCTATTTCATAGGGTAGCTATAGAGACTACCAAACTCTCACAGAACTACAGACTTTAAAAAAGTTATCTTAAATTTAGTTAACACACAAAATAGGACTATTAAAGAAACAGTCCTTCACTAAAGCTTTTCTGAAAGAGAAGTGAGAAAAAATAAAGCAGCACATAGGATAAATAAGCTTAATAACTTACTGTAAAAATTTTAATACTGTATTACCCACAATTTTAAAGTTTTTTAATAATCTAAAATTAAGAGTTGCTATATAAATGCAATTTTTCAAAATGCTAGACCTATTTAATAAAATCACCTATTTCTACCTCACAAATATCAAAAATTTCAATTCTTCTATTAAGTAAAAGGAAACCTAGCACGATTATTAAATCTAGTCTTTCTCCCCTTTTTCTTCCAGTCTTTAATTAATAACTCAACAACTCTGCAAGTCAAATTCCATATTTAACTATTGATTCATCTTGTATCTTATAAAAGTGTCACATTCACATTCATCTAGTTTCATTAAACGAGCATCTATTTTGGATCAGTTGCTGTACCTGGTAACTTGGTAAAAAGTATGATACAAACAATGCAGTAAATGTATGACAGACATCAGTAAAAATCTTACTTGTATCTGGTTGTGGAAGTCATTTTCTCATGATTTTCAAGAAAACGCTGAAAAGATTCCTTAGCCTCTTTGTATTTCGATCTTGCTTCTTCTTTTTCTTCTTTCTCTGTCTGAACTTTATAGGCATTAAAGGCCTGCTTTTTTTCACTCAACTTTGCTAAAGCACTAAATAATAGAAAAATACCATACAAGAGTAAATGATGGCAGGAGAATCAAATGTTAGTACTTTGAAAAAATAATAAAGTTGTTTTCATGCAGAAGTCAAGAAAATTTCAACAACATATTAAATATAAGAAATGGTTCTAAAAAGTAACTTCTAATTTTTTTTTTTTTTTGTCTTTTTGTCTTTTTTCCGTGTCCGGCAACGGATCGCAACCCTCAGTGTTGCCCCCGTACCGGACCGGGGACCGGCAACGGGATTTTATAGGCATTAAAGGCCTGCTTTTTTTCACTCAACTTTGCTAAAGCACTAAATAATAGAAAAATACCATACAAGAGTAAATGATGGCAGGAGAATCAAATGTTAGTACTTTGAAAAAATAATAAAGTTGTTTTCATGCAGAAGTCAAGAAAATTTCAACAACATATTAAATATAAGAAATGGTTCTAAAAAGTAACTTCTAATTTTAAATTAACTCTAATTTCATATGTAGCAGGGTGCTCAAATTGTATGGCCAGGCTTTTGGCTTTTTTTGGTTCAGATCAGACATAAAACAACGCTATTCTTGGTATCAAAAACAACAGAAGTCAATGGAAGTTAAGAGTTGTATGATTCTACACAATTTTAAAGGTGATAGGCTTGCTATGCTCAAAGTAAAAGGCAAATAAAAACATGAAGTATTACCTATATCGTGGATCATTAATGATCATTTTCATAGCTTGCTCCCATGAAGCATTGGATGGTACCCGCTGAAAACCATTTAAATGAAAAATTTAAATTTCACTCAAGTACAGTTAACAGACATATAACAGGAAACCAAGTGTAATACTCACTGTACACATCAAGTACTTCCCTTTGCAGGAGTTTGAAAAAAGTTCTAAAAAATAATTTTCTACTGAAGGCAAATCTGAATACATCTACAGACTAAAAAGAAAACTTAAACTGAAATTTAAACAGAGCACGAATACTTTTTTGTTAGATTACTGATTAAAAGATAAACAAGAATTATGAATAAAAAACCTTATGTTTAATATAGAGGTAGCAATGTGCTTGAATAGTACTCGCACACAATAGAGTTTTTACTGAAAGTCAGTTTCACAAAAGTGTTCTTCAAAAAAGACAAATTTAATTTGTTTTTAGTTACAATACTTCATAAAATTAGTATTTTCAATAAAGGTCAAGGTGTTTATTAAAGAGTAACTTCATTTATTAGGTAATTATTACAGGTTATATAAAAATCTGTAACATAAATACCTTTTCTTTCAATAATTCCTTAAACGCTTGCTTTGCCTCCTCCTTTGTATTCCATGTGTATGTTTTTTTTGCTGGTTGGCTCTCCTCCTCTTCTTTTTTGGGAGTAAAACTAGAGAGAAATTTAAACGTTATTCACAATTTAAATAAACATTTGCTTCACTTAGAAAAATAAGCTCTAATTATTATTTAAATTATTTAATATCTGACAATTTCAGAATAAAGTCTCCCAAATGAATCCTAAAAACACACTTATTTAAAGACAAAAATATATATAGTTTTTCTGAAACTTCAGTTATTAAGTTTAGTTCCTGTACAAATGCCAAAGTAAATATTAGTGCCTTAATAACTCTGAGCATTTGGGCAACTATGCGTAAATATAAAAAAGATGAAGAGATCAATCTCAATCAGGGTCGACAAACTAGAGTCCACTAGCCAAATCTGGCCTGCTGCTAAGTTTTTGTAAATACAGTTTTGCTGGAACACAGCCATGGCTCATTTGTATATTGTTTACTGCTGATTTTGTGCTACCACAGGAGAGTTGAGTCACTGTGACAGAATCTGTACAACACAAAAACTGAAAATATTTACCATTTTATAAAAAAGTTTGCTAAACACTGATCTCAAACAAAAAGAATTAACACAACTAAGAATTATCAACTGTACTCGTTTGGGGGTCTTTCTGAAATAAAGGAAGTGTACAGGCCTTACATTTCTTCCTATATAAAAATAAAGAAATGCAGGGAAAAATATCCAAAAAACCAAAATTCTTTTTTTTTTTTTTTTCCTTTTTTTCTTTTTTACTGACCGGTAACGGGATCGCAACCCTCGGTGTTGTGCCCACACCACGCTCAGCCAGTGAGCGGGAACCAGTCTCCATATGGGATCTGAACCCTCAGCGGGAGCGCCACTGCGCTCCCAAGCGGCGCACTCTCTAGTGCACCACCGGGCCGGCCCCAAAATTCTTTAAGTAGGATGCTTAGGGGAAGACACACTGGAATAGATACTAACAAAAAAACGCAAACAGATTCACAACCTCTGAATCAAGTAACTTTACTTTGTGAAACATATTTATATTCGTCAAAAAACATTGTAAAGAGCCCACTGAAAAGCTAACTGTTAATGATCTATAACACAGTAATTAAAATCAAAAGCTTATTATAATGACTAAGGCAATGATAATTAAAAAAATGCCAGAGAGAAAATGCAGGAAACAAGTTCATTGTTAAAATTATAAAGAGCAAATTATTGTGGGAAAAAAAAAAAAGATTGTGAAAAAATGCAAAAGAATGTTTTTCCAACAAGTTTAAATGTCTATCAGTAGGGGAATACTTAAATTTAGGCATATGTAAAGAATAAAATGATAGTATGCCAGCACTGGACATGAGGGGGTACATACCTTTACAGACATAGAACATGTCACTGATATATATAGTTTAAATATACATGCATACATTATAAATGCACAAAAGCGGCAGAAAGATAAAATGTTATTTTCACTTCTTTATACCTTCAAATACACTGTACAGATTTCTTTTTAAACTTCTACACATCAGAAAAAAATTATACCTATTTTCACTCTGGGAAACTAACATAAAAGAGAAACAAAAGAATACTTACAATAAGGGGTAGAGAGATGAAGACATACGCTTAAATATTAAGATGGATCATCATGTTAGGATCGTGAGATTATAGTTAACATTTTTTTTAAAATGTGTGGACATCCTTAAAGTCAAGAAGTTTAGCTTTACCTCACTTTTTATAGCTATATAAAGCATAGCCATGTGAAATATTACTGGACTTCAGGGTATGCAAGTACATGTAAACTATAAACTTTGAAAGATGCAGCTTTATTTTATCAAAACAAAAATTAGTACAGTATTAGCTGTACTAATTAAATCTCACTAAGAATGATATGAGAGTTTTCTTACACGCTGGTATTATTTTTTTTATTTTTCATTTACTTTTATTTTTCTGCTTGATTTTTGCTTACATGGTAGAAAACTATCACATTTTTTTATGTTTCCTTATTATGGCCGAATGCCTTTTCATGTTTCCTAGACAACTGTATTTCTTTCTGTGTAGATTGCCTTCTCTTACCTGTAATATATTTTCAACAAAGTTGCTTGTGTGGTGTGGGTGTGTGTGTGTGTATATTATTATTTTTTTTTTAACTGATTTGTAGGAGTTTGAAAATCAGAAAACACCAATAACCAAAGAAGAAACAAAACAATTTTAGTACTCTATTTGTCAGGGCTTCAACTTCCATAGCTGATCAGTTTGTTAAACATCAAACTATAGCACTTCCTCGCAGTGCTGTGCTGAGCCATATTGGAGACTGAGGCAAAAGAAAAAAATCAGTAATACTAATCTTGTCTTTATTTAAAATCCTGATAGCTTGTTATTCATGAATTTTTTGTACTAATTTAGACATAAAATATTGCATCCAAATATGATATATCTTCCTAAGGTTTTTGGCATTCCTTTAAATTTGTGCCCCACCCTATAAATAGCTCTACTTTCTAAAACTTTAGTGGACTAGTTTTGTAAGTTTGGTTGTATGAACCCCATGAAATTCAGTCTCATAACTGGTCAAATGCCTAAAGCCTTATGTTTTGATTCTTAAAAAACCATTATTTAAATACTTAATAGCCACTGACTAAACTGCAAATTTCGTGTATTAATGAAGCCTGGTACAGACTTTCAGAAGACAAATTACTAAACTTACTCAGCTACGGTTTCCTGCTTAGACGTTTCTTCTCCAGTATTACTGGATACTTCAACACTCTGATCCTGAATAGCAGGGGTGCTAGTCAGTTGTGCTTGTTCCTCAGTTGAAATAGTTACTGTATTTTCATTATCTACAACAGTAGCAACAATGGAAGTAACTTCAGGCTCAGGAACAACTGGAACAGTTCCACCAACAGTATTTGAAGAAGTGGAAGCACTGGCATTGGCTGCAGCAGCCGCTGCTGCTGCAGCGGCGGCAGCTGCAACAACAGCAGCTGCTGCTTCTGCAGCAGCCATGGTGCTCATTGTGGTCGGAATTTCTGTTGTAGGAACTGGGGCCGATGATGTTGTGGTGCACTCTTCTTGCTTACTATATGTTAAAAAAAAGAGAAAACTGGTCATTTCGTTACTGTAATCACAAAGCTAGTTTTAAAATTACCATAAAATCAAATGAATAAAAGAAATAATTGAGGGGAAAAAAAGCAAGTGATGACAAACTATTAAGCTATTTGAAAAGACTAAAATAACAGAATGGAACTGTAGTACTTTGATTTAATTCAGTAAGCATTCATGATAATGTGTAACAGGCACTCTTGCAAGAGTATGCATTTCCAGAAATCCAATAATTGTTCTCATTTACCTAATGCCCAAATATCATGTTGCACTCTACCATGAAATCTGACCTATATCATAGATTTTTATAAGAACATTAAATTTTCTCTATTTCACACATTAAAAGGAAACTGTAAAGAAAGATATACCGTTTGGGTATCCCCTTATCCAAAATGCCTCGGAACAGAAGTGTTTCGGACTTCAGATTTTTTTCAAATTTTAGAATATTTGCAGAATACATACTGGTTGAGCAATCCTAATCTGAAAATCTGAAAATCTCCAAATGCTCACTGGAGCATTTTGGAACATTTTGGACTAGGGATTAGGGATGCTAAACCTGCATAGATATAACATTTCATCCAGTCCCAAATATAAACTCAAACCAAAATTTGGGCTTTTCTATAACAAACTCTTCTTAATTTATAAAAGATACAGTCCAAATTCAAACAATTACTATCTAGAAAAGCATTAACTCGAGTTAATATCCCTTTCCCTAACTTCTGCCCCACAAAATCTTCCAAAGACATCAAACCAACAAGCCTAACTTTTAAATAGCATTTATATTGTAAAGAAAACTGAGAGGTAAAACAGAATGTTATAGGAGAGAGCAAATTTATAAATACGTATTGATGTCTAAAATTGCTTACCTGCTTTCTTCAGCTTTAATCATCGCTATTAAAGAGAAAAAAGAAAAGTCATCTACTACATAATTTTTAAATATGATCAATGAAAACAAACTTTAAAAGGAGAGAGAGAAAAGTATCATACAAGGATTTATTTTACCATCCTAAAAAAATAAAAAATTTAAAAATCACTTTAACAGAGCAAATCCTTGCTCCACAGTTCCAGGGCAGCAATTAAAGAATGAAAACAAATCTAAATAAGAGTAGATACTAGGAAAGCTTATCCCACAGTTACTTTCCCTAAGGGTGCTGGCTTACTGCAACAACTTCTTGAAAGTATCTGCATGATTCTGGAATTAAATATGTAGTATTTTCCCCGGAGATGAAACGAGTTTGATTTTTTTTTTAAAGATACTAAATTCAAAATAGGATCAAACTCGTATTATGAAATTCCAGCACATATATACTAGCATTGACAAGTAGGTTGATAGTTATGTACACCAACAATTTTAGTAGGGTTATATCAGAAATGAGCTTGAAACTTTATAAGTTAATAAACTGGGAATCTACCTATCTACAATATTATTATTAGCCAATGCTAGTATAGATCATTTAAATTAAGTTTTAAAGATGTGCACTCCATATTTCAGCTTTTGTTCCAGTTTAAATACATTTTTCTTTGGCGATAACAAAAATATCTTTTATTCAGCAATATGAGGGAATGAGGTGCTCTGTGTAAGTGATGATGTAAGCTTCACTCTTCATAAAAAATATTTCTAAAACTTATTAACCTTTAAAGGAAAACATTTGTGAAAATCTGTTTAGGATGACTGAGAAACATACTTATTACTACTATTACTATGTAAATTAACTTATTTTTCTGATATTATGATGTTCTAAACTAATGAGTTGGCACAGGGAAAGGTAAATTAAGATGACAGTGCCTTTAAAAAAACTTCTAGTTTCTCTTTCCTGACACATGTTATTCTGCATTGCTACCTATACTTTATTAGCCCCATTCTCAACAATCTGTTGCTTCTACTCTGGTATAGTTTATGACACTAGATTCTATCGAAGGAAGAGTAAAAGAACTAAATTCTCAATTTTTACTCATAACCTCTGCTATTTTAAGTCCTAGGTTTTATATTAAGTTGTAAGTCCAGATTTTCAGGAGTATTCTGAGTTGTTGGGGATGTTGAAAAACTCCCTTTATAAATGAGGCATGATATTTTGTTTACCTTAACTCTTCCATAACAAACATATCAAAGCTATTTTGCTATGTTACACTAAAACAAAAACAGCATTAAATGCATAGTCTGACAATATGCTAACAAAATGTAAACTGACAGAGATTCAAGGTTGCTTACTATCTACTACCATTAAATGTGTTAAATCACGCACTCCATGTATGCACCAACACTCACAGTGGGATTTAGTAATTTTGTAAGTGAAGTCCTTGTTCAATTTTCCACTGATAAATGATTTTTTAAAAAAATCGAAGTATAACTTTAAAAGCCGCAAGCTCATTTATAATATAACTCTTAAATAAAAGAAATTCTTTGAATTAGAAATTTTTCACTGCAGATTTATCCAATCATGGTTAGTGAACATTAGTGACATACTCTAAAAATGTTAAATATGACAGAAAATGAATTATCAAAGCAGCTCACCATGCAGGTTTGATTTTGTAATAAGACTTCCAGCAACAATGGTATTCTGGTATCCTAGTTTCAGTGGAATCAAATCAAATAAAAATCTATTTAAAATCTATAGAACTGAGATCTAGAGCAACAAGCAAATAAGAGCCCATAAAACTGTTATACCATTTAAAACATTCTAATCATTTAATTTTAAAAAAACAAGACCTTTGAATAGTCCAATTCATGAAGGACTGTATCAAAGTGAATGACATACGTAAGTAAAAAAAATGTACATTAAAAATTACTTTTTCCTGTTTTACCTTCAAGATCCTCAAGCTCTTTAGGTTTGGCCCAGCGGGATTCTTTTGTTTGAGAATTGTAATAGTAAGGCTTTCCAGAATCAGATTTGTACTCCTTCCAGGGGCATTTGGATAATAGTTGCTAAAGAGGAAAAACCTTTCAGTTAATAGTAATATATTTAGCATCACTGACCATTCGCATGGCTGTTTTCACTAGATATTACCAACCCATACAATTCTAAAACTTATGAGACGGTAAGAATAAGCTATCAGATACTGAATACTAAGTGATATTATTTGAATATGTTATTTAATCTTTCTTTCTTTTTTTTTTCCTTTTTGTCTTTTTTCGTGACCGGCAACGGGATCGCAACCCTCGGAGTCGCGCCCGTACCACGACCGGCAACGGGATCGCAACCCTCGGAGTCGCGCCCGTACCACGACCGGCAACGGGATCGCAACCCTCGGAGTCGCGCCCGTACCACGACCGGCAACGGGATCGCAACCCTCGGAGTCGCGCCCGTACCACGACCGGCAACGGGATCGCAACCCTCGGAGTCGCGCCCGTACCACGACCGGCAACGGGATCGCAACCCTCGGAGTCGCGCCCGTACCACGACCGGCAACGGGATCGCAACCCTCGGAGTCGCGCCCGTACCACGACCGGCAACGGGATCGCAACCCTCGGAGTCGCGCCCGTACCACGACCGGCAACGGGATCGCAACCCTCGGAGTCGCGCCCGTACCACGACCGGCAACGGGATCGCAACCCTCGGAGTCACGCCTGCACTGCGCTCACCCAGTGAGCGGACCGGTCTCTATATGGGATCCGAACCCTCGGCGGGAGCGCCGCCGTGTTCCCAAGCACGGCACTCTACCGAGTGCGCCACCGGGCCGGCCCTTTAATCTTTCTAATTACACCACAAATTATACAATTTATTTCAAATTTACAAGACTTTCTTGGAAAGGGAAAATAACTTATTTAAGGTAATACACCTATTAAGGAGCAGAGGCATGATTCACAAACAGGTTTATCTGAATTTCAAATCCTGTGTACTCTTACCATTTACATTTACACCTCACTGTAGGTAAAAATTACCATCCATATTTAACCGACAGACTTCTCAAATACTAATGCAAGTAGAAAAAAACATAAAATTGGGGAAAAAGCAAAATCTGATTCAGTCATGCTTAGATTTCAAGTCATAATAAATTATTACAAGCCCATATGAACATATATAAGGAAACAATGTTGGTATAATATACTTAAAACCTAATACAGATTGAGTATCCCATATCTGAAATGGCTGGGACCAGAAGTGTTTCAAATTTTGGATTTCTTCAGATTTTTGAATATTTGCAGAATACACACCAGTCAAGCATCCCTAACATGAACATCTGAAATCCAAAATGCTCCAGTGAGCATTTCCTTTGAATGTCATGTGCTGGCACTGAAAAAGTTTTGGATTTTGGAGCACTTCAGGTTCCCAGATTATAGATGCTCAATCTGTATGAGTATATAAAACTCTTAGGTTTGGTATGAGAAAGCTATTGAAAACTTCAATCCAGACAGTGTCCTGGACAAAATATACAATGAAATATCTTTGACTAAAAGTCAGTACTGAGATAAATAAAATCTACCAACCATTCCTCCTAAGCATTGCTATGCACATTAGTGTGGTGGCCTGGAAAATAACAAATACTATTACCTCCTCAAATTCCTTAATTAAGGAGAAGAAAACAAAAAGTTATACCACCAACTCCAAAAAAATTTAAAACATACCTTGGAGTGCCAGATCAACTCTTACTTAGTACTCCAGAGTTTCTAATTAAACCACATGCAATACTGTTTTACACAGTTTATTCCTTTAACCTTGAACTTTTACTTCCATATCTGTATGTTCTGAATGATAAAATTTGCAGCACAGAATGAAATATAATACTTTTTTGGAGGCATTTTCTGCAAAGAGACAATTTCCCACTCTAAGAGAAGGAAGCATTTGTAAGTAACTTAATTTCATATCCATTACCTCCAGTCTCATTGGAAACTTTCAAGAACTCAGTAGAAATCATTTAAAATCACCCATGTTTTGCTATAAAGAGGAAAACAATTTGAAATGTGAATTAAAAAAAAAAAAGGGCAAGCAAAGAAATAGCTGGTTTTTTCTCCCTTCAAATTTATTCTTTAAATCACCTTTCTTAAATTGATCCCACACTACAAGGGTTCCTGAGCAGGGGCAAAATTCGTAAATAAAATTAGTCTGTCCATAGGAGAGAGTGACTTTTACTGCTCTTCTTGTCGACTGGTGTGACTGTATTAACCCTCTTTTCTTCTGAATGTCTTTATGGACCCTCTTCTGGTACATGAGTAGTACTGCTTTTTAGACAGTCAAATACTTAATAAATCTTAAAAAATATGCCCTGATCTACTTAAGAGTCCCTGATTTTTTTTTCCTTTTTCTTTCTTTTTTTTTTTTACCTCAGCAGGTGTTTTAAGATCATCTGGTTTCTCCCATGTAGACTGTTTTGTTTCAGTATTGTAGTAGTAAGTCCTTCCATCAGGCGATTTATGTTCAGTCCACATTGATTTCTGAAGAGAAAAAAAATTATAAGATGTAAATTATGTAACAATGCCATTGGCAGTGAATATCAGTATCATTAATTTCAAGGCAATAAATACATGAAGAAATCAAAAGTATAAAGTAGGCTTACTTAGACAGTTTAAGTCATTTAGAATAATTCATTAATACAAGTAAGGAGGGAACAGAAAAACAGAATATTTTTAAAGTAAATTATACTTTTAAAAGTACCATGGATCAATTCAGGTTTAGGATCTCTCAGAATTAGAAAGATTATGACTGCTCTCCTAAGAAGAATACCTTTGTGACTTATGTACATAAGAATCTTTAAGCAATACAAATCTATGCTGAGTGGACAAAAGAGAATATATGGATATGAACTAGATGCTAATATAGTATAGGTAGACTGATCTTGTGTTCATCTACTCTAATCCAAGAACACTTATCTCAACTTGGACAAAGTTCTAAATTGGCATGCCACAAAGACACAGATGTCGAAATTAGAAAAGATGGCTTCTGGATGACAATCATAATTTAACTACCAGGAAGATGAATTCAAAAGGGATAAAATGTGAATCCAAATGCATTAAAACAAGATAGGTGAGATAAAGTTTTATGTGAAACTAGTTAGATATAAGATATAAATCCATTCTTAATCAAGGGCCCAGAGAACTACTAAGAACCTAGAAAAAGTTGCTATGAAATTTCGAGCATCAACAGACAAGATACCTCAAATCAAGGTTGGTTAAAAGTTTTACAAGATATCACAAATGAGTGAATTATTGGATGTTATCACAGGAAAAAGTCTTGCTCTGGGCACCAGATTTTTCACATGGAACAAACTTAACAATGCTTGAAAGAGGGTTACAAAGATGATCTACCACATTTCTAAGACAAAATTATTGTAAGGGGGAACTCTAGAAAGTTCATAAAAAAACAGAATTAAAAGAAAATATGAATCTTTCCATGAACTTTCTGAAGTACTCTTGTATACATCTCTAAGAAAAATATAAATCACTGTCAAACTGTTAGATGCTTCTTTGCCACTCAGATTTTACTTTAAACGTACTGATCTATTCTAACTTGGACAATGATTATTACTTTTGTGCATGCGTTAAAAGTAAAATCAACAAATAAAGTAGTTAAGATATTCCTTCACATTGAGACCACTTTTTGTATCTGAGTTGCTGATGTCTATTATATTCCAAACAATATAATCCTCTGTGGTATTAAGAATACTGGTAACATAGTATTTCATTAAAAAATCATAAAAAAGTGAAAACCGCTTATTTTAGTGATAGTGTTCTTAACTTTCTTTTGTACTTGTTTACAGCTGATCTACCTTTCTTTTTACCTTATCAACTTTATTAAGAGCTGACTTATGTTTGATTTCTGCTTTGGAAATGTGGCTGAACATGTGATTCATTGCTTTTCCCATTTTCTGACCATAATCATTTTACTTCTAGCTGATAAGAGTGCTGTGCCATTACTTTTAGGATTTTCTTCCAATCTGACATCTTGGCACTAACTATATTCACTCATGCACAACTAAGCCATAACTGCTACCTGGACAATGGAGGTCACAAGACACCATGTATTATAAGATGCATGTCAATTTCAGAGATTTTAAAAGATGAAATGAAATATGGTAACTTAAAACTAGTTAACTTAAGGGCCGGCCCCGTGGCTCACTCGGGAGAGTGTGGCACTGAGAGCGCTGAGGCCGCGGGTTCGGATCCTATATAGGGATGGCCGGTGCACTCACTGGCTGAGCGCGGTGCAGACCACACCGTGGCGAGGGTTGCGATCCCCTTGCTGGTCAAAAAAAAAAAAAAACTAGTTAACTTAAGGAACACTTGCAAAATTTCGGATAGAGGGCCATGAAAAGATGACTTAAAAATAATATAAGTCAATGTGATTTAACAATTAAGTACATGAGGTAAGATGTTTATTTTCTGTAACTTATGAAAAGAGAACTAGTGTTAATGTAGAGGAAATATACACAGCCTCTGCAATTCAAAGAAAAAACTTCATAAAGTTTGAGCTGTTTGATAACAAAATGATTTTCTCTTCCAACAGAAATTCAGTAAGTCATCTGACATGACTATTTACAGAATGGATTTTTGTATGATGTAGCAGGATGGTTAGATAATTCCAACGGTGTGCTACATTCTTTAACTTGTTCTACCTCCTTGTACTGGATTAAACAACTATAATGTCTCTGATGCAAATAGTAAATAGATGCTGGGAAATATTTTGGCTGTTTTTCACCTACTTTAACATCTTTTCATCAAAAGACAATGCAATTAGAGACACACATATGAAAATTTCAACTGTATGGGTGATGATTTATTTCATAAATTAAATGGTTAAGACAGAAAAAGGAATTTATCTGTGTTTATTCTGTAATTATCTTTTAAAAAAATTTTTATGAATTCAGTAGCATCTCAAAATTTCATTAGCTAAAGAAAAGTCTACCATAAATTCCAAAACCATATTTAAACTTCCCAAGTCCCATCTGCTAAAAGGAATCAAGGAAAAAGGAAGTTCACCAGAATTTATGAGAAAATGGCATGAAAAAGAAAGGGACAGTGTACAGTTGACCACATAATATGAGGAACAAGAGAGGTACACAAGCTAATAAAACAAATATAATCAGTTTAGTATTCACTACCTATTACTTTGAGTCTCACAACCACACTACAAAGCAGGAATAACCACTAACTCCATTCTGTAGATAAGAAAACCAAGGTTTAGAAGGATTAACAACTTGTTCACAGGGACTCAGGAAATGAGAAAACTAGAACAACTCAGTCACATCTGCCTCTAAAAACCACATTTTAGCACCCTAAAATACTGACTGAAGCTACTATATCAATAAGGACAGATAAATTCCTGACTGACTACTCTCAGAATCTGTGCTAAATGGTTCATACCAATTCTCAGTTAATCCTTTTAATATCCCTATGAGGTAGGCACTACTTATTTATTCCTACTTTACACACAAGAAAACGGAGGCACAAGAAAGTCAAGTAGCTATATTCGGTCAAGATAATATAGCTAGTGTAACATTGTCCTTGCTAAAATCCTATTAAGGAATAGACAGGAACATAAATTATGTACTAATTTCTTCAATAAACAAAATGTTACCTATAGAAGTCAAATTTGGAGAAAAATGATGTAACTAATATATTTTTTACTCATACAATTTTTTAAAATCTCTATCTGTAACTTAAAGTAAAAATGTAATATTTTGTCATGCTTTTGTCGAAAGCAATAAGCAAACTCTGCCTATACCAAAGACTTAGACTGACCTAGCAGAATCAGGGTAAAACTGACAAAAACTTGGATGTATATTTTGAATGAGCCAAAGCCAGGAGAGTACGTTAACCACCTTTGGGGACTTGCAGGAGTTATTAAGATATTCTTACAATTGGAGCTTTTGTATTACTCTGTACGTTTGTCACAAAATTATTTTATTACCAGTTATTGAATAGAAAATAAGGAACAAAATGGCAGTTCTGGGAATCAATCAGAAGTTAACTTTTTTTTTTTTTTTTTAAACAAAGGATAAACTGGGAGCATATCTGCAAAATAAGGGATATATTATCCCTAATATACAAAAACCTGGTACAATCAATTAAAAAAAGGCAATCTAACAGAAAAATAAACATGGCCATTAACAAAATACAGTACAGATAATATAGTTACATGTTCAACTTTATTAGCAAATGAAGGAAGCACGCATGAAACTTTCTGTTAATGATATGAATGACAGTTAAAGACTATTAATATGCAACGTTAACAGGCTGTGAGAAAAGGGGTACTCTCTTGAGAATGAAATTAGTATAAATTCCTTAAAAGGCAATTTAGCAGTTTTTATCATTATTATAAATGCAGACATTGTCTCTTGATCCTGAAATTTCACTCCACAAAATCCCACTGACATTGCTGCAAATATGTCCAAGGATGTTCCCTACGGGATTACTTATAAAGGTGAAAAATTAGAGATTAATTTAAAATCCACCGACAGGAAAACAGGTTAATTGTGGTCCATTCACAATATTGATGTAATATAATTTGTAATATAGTGGACAATGTCTATGATGCACTGTTAAATAAAAGGATTAAGACATTGTACCAAATTACGTAGTGGCAAAATATATACAGAAAAACATCATTTCAAATGCAAAGAAAAATGGGCATTAAGAAAAAAAATACACATATACAATTATGTCAAGAACGCTAAATACACATTTCAGATTCAGAAAAAGCTAGTCAACAACAAAGGGTTGTGAAGAAATTCAATACACTCAGACAACTTTGTATATGTAATAAACAGTTATATACACATACATGCTTATACAACGTATAAGCTGCACTTAAATTGAAAAAGAAAAAATAAATGTTTAAATCCAAACACTAAATAAATAGAAAAATCCTCACTACCCTATATAAGGAAAATAACAAAAAGCCAAAAAATTGGGTTAGAATTGAGGAAGAACACAATCGCAGACACAGATTTACAAACTTCAATACCTCGAGGAAATGATTTCCTAGCAAATTACTATTTCAAAATTCACCTCAGAAATATTCCAACTACCCCAGAAACAACTGAAAGACACCCAACTAGATGGTTTCACAGGAGGAAACTACATAATCTTTAAAGAACAGAATTGCAATGTTATAGCATTATTTCAGATCATAAAAAAAGATAAAAAGCTCTACATTAAATAAATTAAAAACCCAACAGAAAAGGTACTAAAAAAGAGAAGCCGTCAATGTTACTTCTGAATTTAAATGTAAGAATTTAAATAAAATATTACCAAAGCAAATGCTGCAATGTATATACTCTAACCAAGCAGAATTTACTCCAGTAGTGCTAAGGAGGTTCAATACTGAGAAATCTATAAATTAAATTATTCCCATTAACAAATCAAATAAAGAAAAACAAAACATGATCACACTAACAGACTTCATACAATCAAACCACATCCTGAAAACTCTAGTT